AACTGTGGAAAATGCTTTACGGGCTGTGTCGTCTAAACTAATTGATTTCGCATTTCCACGAAGCTGATCGGTCAACGGTTTCATTAGGGATGCGCATTTAGGTATGAACCGTCTATAGAAACTTACGAGTCCGTTAAAAGTTCGTAACTGCTTGATCGTGGTCGGTTCTGGGTAATCCAGAATGGCCGCCACTTTGCTCCTAAGGGGTCGGATTCCTTGGGCATCAATGGTGTGTCCTAAGAAGTCTAAGCAGTTAGTTCCGATTTGGCATTTCTGAATGTTGACAGTAATGCCATGCCTTTGAAGTCGATCGAAAACAATGTCCAGATGCTTGAGATGCGATTCTCTGTCCGGACTTGCTATTAGACAGTCATCAACATACGCATGTACGAAGTTGAGACCTCGGAAGACGTCGTCTATAAACCTTTGGAAGGTTTGAGCCGCGTTTCTTAAACCAAAAGGCATTCGTGGAAATTCGTAAAGACCGAAGGGAGTGATGATGGCGGTTTTAGGAATGTCGTCAGTTGCCATCGGGATTTGGTTATAAGCTTTAACCAAGTCGATTTTCGAAAAGACAGTTGTACCTTTCAAGGTAGCTGTCAAATCGTGAATATGAGGCAGCGGGTAACGATCGGGAATGGTTTTAGCATTCAGACGCCGATAATCACCAGTTGGCCGCCAATCATTGCTGTCCTTTTTAGGGACCATGTGCAATGGGGATGCCCATGGACTATTCGATGGTCGAATTATTCCTAGGTCCATCATGTGGTTGAATTCGTTTTTAGCTAACCTAAGTTTTTCGGGAGCGAGTCTTCGGGCTTTCGAAAATACAGGTGGTCCTGTAGTCGAGATGTGATGTGTAACATTGCTGGTTACACAAGGTATTTTCGATTGCGATTGGTATATCCCGGGGTATTTGTCGAGTACTGCTTGGTACAAGGGGTCTATGGCGTGCTTAATCGTGACTGGGGATAACCTGCAACCAGAACAAGGAGTTACGCAAACGGACAACTTAGTGTTTCCGTCTATTAACCTTCGTGCGCGTGTGTCGATGAGTAGATTGTGGTGTTGTAACAGGTCAATACCAATGATTGGCATAGAGACATCTGCAACCACGAAAATCCAGTGTATGGGTTTACGTAAACCCACGTTAAGGTAGACGTACCTTTTACCGTAAGTAGCGATCGGCTTTCCGTTTGCCTCCTGTAAACTTAAAACAGACTCGCGAAGTCTGTCGTCGAGATTTGCTGGAAGAACGCTAACTTCTGCGCCAGTGTCGACGAGGTAGCGAACTTTCGTAGTCACATCCGTGACATATAAGAGGTGGCTGTGTTCGCCGGCTACGGTTGCCGTTAACGCGTGCCGGCTGGGAAGTTTCCCGAACTGTTTTTCGTGTCACTCGATTTTGGGGTCGGATAATTGCAAGGTTTCCTGCAGTTTCTGGAAAACTTACCGTACTGGTTATGATACCAGCACCAGTCGGGATTGTCTGTCTCTCGTGGTCGAGAGCCAGATAGCTTACGTGAGGCGCTTCTACGAGGGGTTTTTGACCGACTACGGTCATTGCGAACTCTAAGATATCGTGTAAGCGTGTGACATAGTTCGGCCATGTCAGTCGAGGTCGATTGGGCTTTTTCTTTGACGGAAAAAACCTCGGCCTTAGAAGATCTAGTGATTTCCAAGATTCGATCGGCAGATGCAGCTAGTTCATCTATGGCATTGTTTTGAAATGAAACAAGCACTGCCTGCACCTGTTGAGGGAGTTTAGACAAGAAAAGTTGTCTAAATAGGCCGTCATCGAAAGTTCGTTGGCCGATGACTTCTCTCATTCTAAGCAACATGTCCGTCGCAGAACCATGTTGCAAGTCGATATTGTTAAGGAGTTGGTCTAACCGTTGTCGATCAGTTAGGTCTCCTCGTTTTAAATCGATAGCTTAAGCGATTCGTAAGGTTCGGAAACATCACTAGTAAACATACTAGGTGTTACGTACCTGTTAAACTCGCGCGGTAACGCCTTAACTACCGCGAGGAAACGTGTGCGCGAGTCCGTGATTCCGTGCATGCAAAAATCGGCTTCTGCATAGCAGAACCAGGACTCGATATTGTCGGGCCAAAATGGCGTTAACTGAATCGAAATAGGGGGAATAGACTTTAATTTAAGAACCTTAGGAGAGTGTTCCGTCATAGTAATATAGATATCGAAAAATGTCTAAGTAAAATATATCCGAGAAAAAAAAAGATATATCACAATATATAAAATTCAAATAAAGAATAACAATAAATAATAATATTCCAAAATGGAACAGACTCACAGTATATTGACTTGGTGTACCAGATCACGTCGGGTTCACCAATGATGATGCAACGGATATTCTAGTTTTACAACTGGATACCAGTAGCACCTTCTATGTTCGGTCGTTCCCAGTCAGATAGAAATCAGAAGTCAGACGAGAGGAGGCAGGAAAGATATATTTGATTCGTTACCAATATATCGAGGACCTTTTCTATGAGCTGGCTAATGAAACGTAGGAGCTGTGTCCCACGCAGTATTGAAACGTGATCTGGTGCGATGCATGACCGAAAGCCTTCAGCTAAACAAGTCCACTTAAACAACGTGGTCAGCATCCAATGTCGAACACTTAATGAGCTATTGATTTTGGGGAATTATTTACAGCTACAACAGTATTTCTTCCCTACCTCCAAAAGGATAAGGACATTCTGGGGCGTATCCAACGTCGAGTCACGAAATCAGTTCGGGGACTCAAATTCAAACCTTATGAAGAGCGCCTCCAATCGCTTAACATTTACCCGTTAGAGTATAGGCGTCTTAGAGGTGACTTTCTTATGGCTTACAGTATCCTCAACACTTCTGGTCATCCCTTAAACATCTACTTAAGCTTAGTCACAATACTACCCTAAGGGGTAACACTCAGAAACTGGAGACCTAACATGGCAGAACGGACTGAACACACCTTCTACTCCTTAAGAGTTGTCAAATTCTGGAATTCGCTGTCGACTGAGCAAGTCCAAGCGACTTCCCAGGAGTCCTTTAAGAGGAAACTTGACTTATTCTTTTTTCCTCTATTATCGTTACTATACCTAGGTTCCTGCCTGGATGTATTGGTGATCCACAGCTATTAGACACGGAAGCCCGTTAAGTGAAGGCTCTTCCTATTCCGTCCACAACCATTCGAACCATTTGTGACCTTGCGCGCAAATCAATAGTCGTAATCTTAGGACCTAATGACTAGAATAATTATTTTGTTTGTCAGTGCATGTAAATATGAAAGTATTCTCTAAGTTTACGTCCATGCTTAGTTTTGTCTTTTCGTTGCTACATACTGTTCATTCTTAGACATCTTTTATACCAGCTGTCGACGAAATACTGTGCAATTAAGCTGGTGTCTTGCGTGAATATAATTAGAAGTGAAGTACAAGAACGTTTACTCTTCTTTTTCTGCTGGATTCAGAGCCCATTAACTTTTTAGCGTTTTCATTCAGATGACGCACCAATATTTTCTAAAATATTTGGCTTAATGTCTAAAAATATCTCAGAAAGGACATCTTTACTGAGTCGTCTGTTAAATACTACTATTAGAAATCTTATTCGTCTAAGTTAAGATGATATGTTTCTGTGCACCATACTTGCAGTGGACTTATTGCTTGGGATCGAAATTAAGTTTGCCTATATCGTTTCATCTAACTTCATTCAAGTGATTAAATGATTCAAATGGTTGTGGACGGAATAGGAAGAGCCTTCATTTAACGGGCTTCAGTGTCTAATAGCTGTGGATCACCAATACATCCAAGCAGGAACCTAGGTATAGTAACGATAATAGAGGAATAAATGAAATTTGGTAAATCATAATAAGATGTTATCCTTAGTCCTTAATAATAGGTCAAGTTTAGGTGTTGGTGTCGAAAACACCATTGTGAGCCCACAATAATAATGATTGATATCCAACTGAAAACTTTCAAGTGACATCGTCTCTATTTTGTGACTTCATGGATATGTCTATATAATATTGATGTATAGCCGCTTTATTATGTAGTATATTGTGGATTTGCTCCTAGTGCCTTAACAATACTGTCTTTTTTAATCACTGGCTAGCTAATGGTTTAACTGATGGTGTACATTCGGTCGAATACAGTCGAGTTGAGGCTTCATTTCAAGCCATGTAGTTAGTAATTTTGGTTGAACATGAACATAGGATGACTGAATACTGGGCTTTTACTTAAGACATATTAGTCTATTAGATGTCACTTAAACCTGCTAAAGCTTACTTCTAATATAAGCAAATCAGCAAGGTCAGTGGAATTTAACAGTACCCAGTGACTGTGCATAAGCAATATGGATTTCATAAAGTTTATAAACTGGCTTGGGAAAGGGTTACTTGAGAGACTGTTATTAAAAAAAGACTGACAGATTATCTACAGAACTGGAAAATAAGGTTTTTATGCTAATAGAGTTGCAAGGATAAACCCCGTTGATGGAAATAAATAAGCACCTTTCTATGCACTAGTAATGGTTTGTAAAAATATTTGCATTATCTGTCATTATAAGACTAGCCAAGATCTATTAGGTGATTTTAAACAGTTAACTACCTGACAGCGTTTCAGCAAATAAGAGGATGAAACCCGGGCAACCGGATACACTACACTGTACATTTATTAATAGGAAGTAGAGCAATTTACGATCTGCTGATAAAAAAGAGTGCGTTTTAGCAGTAACTTAAAATGCGTTTTATCCAGTATTGTTTACCGGAACCAAAATGTAATAAACAACGAACAAATAAGAATAGCTTCCATAGTTGTGCATTTGCGTAGCGATTAGTTGAAATTGTGCTTTGATTTTGTGTTGACATTTTTGCCAGCACTTAACGTTGCATTGGAACAGAGCTAATATGTCCTCCTATTGTTTTTCCAGACTTTTAACTAATCAGAAGACAGACTACCTTTTGGGACTGAAGTATCGCTGATGTTTATCATTATCATTAAAGATGGGTGGGCACGTTAGTCGTGGTCGAGATAATCAGTCGCTCATTGACGAACTGGTGCGAAACGGTCTCACATTAAACCCAGAGACTGAGCGTGCTCTACGTCTAGTCGACAGAGGGGGTTACTTCAACGAGAAAAGCCCGCGAGCATACATGGATATGGCATGGAGGTCTGGTTCTCTCCATCTTTCAGCACCCAGCATCTACATTGTAGCTCTCAAAAACCTCGATATTCAACCAGGAAATCGCTTTTTAAATGTTGGTAGTGGAACAGGATACCTTAGTACAGTCATTGGCTTGTTACTAGGTAGGTTTGTTGAGATAAAAATTAGGCTTTTTCAACCTCCAAATGAGTTTACAGAAATTAACGTATATAGGTATCCAGACAGGTTGAATGGAGCTAACAGATTACTACGTGTGTAGGTGTCATCATTGTTTTTACTTTGCATGAAATCCGAATTTGAGATTCCAAGTGTTTACATGTTTTCTCAGACCATTTAATACTGATATGTACCTGTTCATTATCCTTATAGAATTTTGCTGGATCTTAGTCAGTAACCTAAAGCTCTTGTTTGCTAGGAATGTACCGTATGCCGTCATTATTCATGCTTTCCTAACTTCCTTTTTATATAGTGTGTAGACTACTGGCACAATCCCTCACAAGCAACGGGGGCCTGTGGAAGGTTTTCCCATAGATTGGAAAGTGTAGAATCTACACGAACGCAGGTATATTTAATTATAAATATGTATAGATGGGAAAATTGATCACCAATAAAACAACTCTTTTTAAATTTAACCTCAATAAAAAAACCGATTTCGTGGAATATTGTCCATAGGACTTATTTGGGCTATGGAAAGAACTTCTTGTTTAATGATATTTTGATAAATCCCCTTCTGATTATAATCATATGCTCACTAGTGACTGACTTCAAGATACATGTCCTGGAGTTCTAGTGGGAAGCAGTGACCAGTGGAGTTCAACCACGTCTGTTGTGAGATAACAACTCACTGAAGGCAATTGGTGAAGTGTCGCTCATAATTCGTGGATCAGTTGAAGTTAGACATTAACACCGTTGGATGCCGGCTCAGTGGTCCAACGGTTAAGGGCTCTGGCTCGTAACTGGTAGGTCCTGGGTTCGAATCTCGCGAGTGCGGGATCGTGGGTGCGCACTGCTGAGGAGTCCCATAATAGAACGAAACGGCCGTCTAGTGCCTCCAGGTTTTCGATGGTGGTCTAGCTTCAATTGACTCATGATTTCAACTTTGAAAAATACCAACCTCTTTTGCTCTACAAACTGTCTACATGGTTTCCTCTTGAAGTGTACCCATCCACTTGTTTATATATACATGGAAATCTATCTACGTTTCATGCCCTCAAATGCCCTGGTACAGCCGAGAGTGGGGAAAGTCCGCTCTCCCTCTCGAAATACTCTCACATGATCACGCGAATATATAGCCTCTGCCACGGAAGTCCTACTCACTGCTTTCTCGTGGCGGGAGTGTTGTTTACGAAATTGAGAGGACGGAAAGCGAATGTCCGGCGCTTTAACCGGGTTGGTGGACATGGAAAGTTCACCTAGGGGAGTTGGAAAACCCTGATTCCAAACCAATGGTGCACATGGGCTCCAGTATCCTGAAGGAACAAATGGCATATGAACCAATCGTCAGTCACCAGCTACCATGGGACTGCATCTCCTCACGATGCTCCACTGCCTTGTGAACTAGACCTTCAGGTCAAAGGCTCCGAGTGAGGCCCCCTAAGAAAACCACCTGCTTCAGTCTTGGCACCTGGGCAGTATCACAGCCCTCACACAAATCAAATGAGATTTGTGAGGCGCATATTTATCTGGTGCTTCCTTGTGCCAACATTTATGTGTTTAAATGAAAAAATAAATCTACGTTTCATCACTGGAAAGGTTGACATTTTTCAGAATCCTTCGTACTTTATGGGTGGTAAGATAAATTCAATTGAAAAGCAATGCGTACATAGGCTCCATCCCCATCCATTCAAGACCCCACCTGACGAAGAAGTTATTAAAATATATTAGTCACGGGTAGAAAGCATCACAGTAACCCTCTGGTGAGGGTCCAGTAGATGATACAACTAATTGACTTGAAACATTATCAAACAAGGCTCGGAAAAGGAACCAGTGGTAGTCAGGCAGTAATTTTCCCTGATATACTTCATAGATTTATGACGGAGTTCCTTAACTAGAAACGATATGGACTGTCTCGTTTGTGTTGTATTTGAACTCTGTCCCGTCACATACTGTTCCTGTTAAATATTTTGTTTTTCGTTTCGTTTCATACTTTTTACTGACAATACTATTCATACTTTGTGTGGTACATCCTATTTTTTAATACTCTGTTATGCTAGATTTTATAGTCTTTAATAAATAATCAAATTATTCGACAAAACGCAGCAGCTTTATTTAAAAATATTGGGTTGTCTAATGTAGACAAAGTTCATCCTATCAGTTCATTGAAAACATAAATGTCTCCTAGATCCGCTGATCGGAAACTGACTATGTCGAACATGTCGCTTGTGTTTAAAAACCCGATGAGGAAGCTAGAACCATTATACTTACATCTTTTCTTTGCACCATCTTAATTTTTCACTTAAGAGTTTACTTAGTGAATATGTATATTACTTAGTTGGCTTACTTAGCATCATAAGATTTCCAGTCGAAATAATTTACAGAAGACCCTGTGTTTATGTCTCATGAACTACTGACTGATTCTCTTTCCATGTACTCTGAGATGAATAAATCACCATTTTTGATCGTCATCAAGATTAACTCGTACCACTTAATTTGCGTACCTAGCCAGCATGGTTTCAGAAATGATTACTGCTGTGTTACAAATATGCTAATCACAGTAGATAAATGGACTTATATTTGTAGTCATAAATGTTTGAAGAAATCCGTTACAACGATTTCGCAAAACATAAAAATCACATCTCATTTAAGTTATTTGTTTACATTTTCAGTAAAATAATGTTTAGTTATTGTCTCTATATTCTAACTGGGTATTCCGTTTACAGAATTTAAACGTTTGTGACAATATTAGGCCTACTACTAAATCTTTCAAATACACTCGCAACGTGGAAAATGTAAAGTTTCAAGTTTAAAATACTAAGTAGTTTTCAATAATCTTTTGTCGATCAATAATCTTTGTATTATTAAGCATGAGATTAACGACTAAATCTATCCTTAATAATTTTGTGAATTAAGTTCTTTTTAAAACAATTTCTCTATGGTATCTTTTGAGTCTTGTTTATCAACTCATTCAGTCTTAACCGACTTCCCTGACCCTGAATAGTATATATATTCAACTTTCAAAATATGCATTACAGTTTCGAATCCTAATTGTTTAACTACAGAGTTTTCGTAATCTCACTAATATTCACACAAGATTTAATTTAAATCGAATTATGTAGAACTGTACTTGATTGTCTTAGAGAGAGTTTTACTTCAATTGCTGGGTTTTGTATTCTCTTCATCTTTCTATGATTACATTGTTCTCGTCACCAACTATTTTTAATTTTACATTATTCTCTTTATGTTGTATCACTGCCTTGTAAAAATCAAAATGGTTACTTAAGTTTACCACTTTTGGGTGGAACTACTTTTATGTGATAAATAAAAGCAATATATTTGTAATACCCCAATTAGTAGAAAAGTTAGATCTTCTGACTTTCCATGACTCAGTGTAAGCCGCTTCTTCAGGAAATAGATAACCAAATTAAAATAAATCCAAGTTTAAATAGTACAAAGGAACAAAGTAAGAATATTAGGTGCGATCAATCAAAAAACAGGTCTAATCAAGTCAATGTCACATCATCCCGGTCAAGATGATACGTAAGCGACATGTATGTGAATTTATGTGTGTGTATATATATGTGCACACAGTCAAGGATGAAAAAATGTGATCATTGTGGTGAGAAAGGGTTGATATTAGAATCGCGGCTCGTATTATCCCCTACCACCCTTTTTTTCGAAAATGAAGGATGTGAAAAAAATTTAGCAATTGGTGATTGGTGAACTTGTTTTTGAAAGTGTGTGCTCAAGTGAAAATGAACAAACATTTTGTCACCTGTAATAATTGTTTAATTGGTTGTAAATGGTGCAGCTTGTAATCTGATTCGTTCAAGTCGAACTAGAATAAAGTGCTTTTATTGGATGTAAGAATTGACATTTTTACATCCGACTATTATTTACAATAAATTAAATTACAATTAATTATTTACAATAATTAATTTTCGCATTGTTCCATCTGAGTTTTGTAAAAAATTTTAACTTCGAAAAAAACAAAAACAAATCCTTTTAATTACCCTGCTATACTGCTGTCAGTGAATGTATATCGGGATAATTTCTTTTTATGAAGTAGAAATGCGACTAAAGTTATCAGTTATCGTGACAAGAGTAATAATAATGTGTAGATCATTGAAAGTTAATTTTTGAAAAAACTGACAAGTGTTATTAATAGTTGATAATGGTGATTATTGAATTTCAAAGGTAGTTTCAAATGTTTAATACACAATTAGTAAACACATTTTCATTTAAGTATTCCCATAAGTTAATTTAACACATAGTTCGCTCATTTAATAAACGTTATATTCGTGTAACTATATAAATAAATCATGATAAAGAGAAAGTGAATGGGTCATGCCGAAGTAACGCTAACCGTAAAAGATGTGTAAATGAAGCAACTTTTACGCTGTCTGAAATTAGTAATAATGTCTGAGAAAAAAGCAAATAATCTTTATAATTCAGTTATTTTGCAAACCGTTATTCTTAATACCAAATAGTTGATCATTTTAGCTTTGAAAAGGGTGTCGAAAATGAACGCAATATCAAGGTTATCAAAGTTTCTTTTTGTAAATCCATTAAAAGCATAAAATATGTTGACCTGTACATTCTTTGTAGTTGATCACTTATTAATGATCACCGAAAATACATGTCAGTGTTGTACTCAGTCATCATGTAATTCGGTAATTGTATTTGTGAGGTGGGCATAATATTTTTTTGGCACGTTATGTTAACAACCAATGTTTTTTTAAGTGCACAGCCTTTCATAATAATGATCTGCAATTTTTATTGTCATTTGTAAATGACATTGTAAACGTTATTTATTTAGAAAGTCTGGAATTATATTTCCAAATCAACAGTTCCCTTTGTTATACATACTGGACGAACAATGAAAAACTGTATGTACATTTTCCGTCACAAGGGAAAATAATTACTCCTCTTATACTGTCAAACACTAAATCACTGAATGTTGAAAAAAGTAACCTTTTTTTGACATAATATTATAATATATATTGGTTGAATATTGGTTGAATGAAGTGTCAATGAACAAGCCTATGTCTAGTGAAATAAATTTCTATTTCAATTATATGACCTAATGTGAATAAGGTCAATTGTATTAAGTAACCATTATGTATTTAGAATATCGAATTTCAATCTCATAAGTTAAACCGTTCAATTATTTATCAGATGTCTAAATGACATTTATCACTGTAACGAATTTTTCAATGCAGTGATAAATCTCATGAGAAACATTATTATTACATTTCGTATGTTCCATTATTATTATTATTAATGACTTGTTAGACATGTAAGTCTTCATTATATGACGTCGTTTTCTGTACGGAATCGTTTACTGAAACCTTAAATTTGAAAAACCTTAAAAGCTGTTGACAAAATTCTAAAGTGATCGATAATCACTTTATTATTATTAATCTAGAAAAAGTGGTTTTGCATCTTCATTACAATGGAATTGTAATGAATGATCAGTGCTTTCATCTAGCAGCATTGCAGATGGTCTAAAAGCGTTCGACCACTTGTGCTTTTTGGACAATAACTGATCTCTCAAATATTGGTAGAAATTTCCGTTTGCTGCTTCCATAAATGACACATACCGTTGGAAGCTACAAAACATTGTAAAGCATATTTCGATTTACCTTTCCACATTTCTTGTTACCATAAGACGGTAGAATATTTGAAGATCAGTTCGTAGCCTCTACGAATATGATGAATGGGTTAATTCTAAAGAAAGGAAACCTTACCCTCTTGATGACATTTCGAAGCAGGTGCACGCGGCACAAAAGGTGGTGTGAATTGGGATACACCTGCGTTATGGCAGCAGCTATTGCAGGTGAATCATCGGTAACAATACCGATAACCTCTCTATTGTTACTCATTTTGGCGGAAGAACGAGAGGAAACTGGACAGCAAAGTCGATGTTTTGCGACTTATAAATGTAATACAAACAGGTACTGCCATAAAATTCATATCCAGAGCCACCACGTGATACAGAAACATATTTTCACTATTGGTTTTGTATGTCCCATCAAAACCTACAACATCTAAAAACCTATTGCACAGATTTATCTGGTCTGCTGTAGCGAAGAAGAAGTACAACAGACTATGATCTGCATCCAATTGATAATCACAACGGCCACCAAGTGACGTTATGTGATTTTTCAATTTACCATAGTCACCTACAGTTAATAGTATAAATATGCACACTGCTTACCAGGAAGGTTGGCCTGTGAGAACACTTTGTGACGCATATTGAAAACATCTTGAGCAGTAAGACGTTTCCCATAGGATTGGTACGCGTAGTGTATCACATTGAATGCTGATGTTCCAGATATCAACAGTGGCTTCACTGTTTCCAATTCCGCCGCCGTTAATCGGCGCATCCATGTGTCACAGTCGTACCTCAGGGAATTGCACTTGTGATTGTGATGCACATTCCCACGAACAACAGCCCAATAACCTTCAGGAAACTTACAAAAGATGAAGGCGGAACATTGTGTCCATTGAAGTTCCCAATGAACAATATAATAACACTAACCAAATCACCTCCTTCGTCTAATCGGCTGCGAAGAACCGCTGGGTGTTTTATAGCTCTTTCTCCAACATACAAATTTAATATACGGCTTCCGATCTCCATGGAAATGAGAATCTCTCACCGCATAATGGCAGCACGTTGCTATTTCACTAATGGCGCTGTTTAACGCTTCCAGTGATGGAAACGCTACCAGATACAATGTATTCAAAAATACATTTTCCGTTTCTGTGACTACGTGAGGAACAACAGAGCCTCTAATTCGCACGTTACTGACGTCCATATTGTGAAGAAAATTATCTTTATCGATAAGTACAGAGCTTTTATACGAATATCAAGAATTACATAACCAATTATAACGCATTTACAACTAGGAATTTCATTGGACGAAACGGATTGAATCACAATTGATTGATCACTGGGTGGTGATCAATCTCATGCGTGTCAGGTCCTTAGTGCTGATCGAATGCTATCGATCAAGTTGCAATGTGGTCACCAGTCTAGGTGGCTCGACACTGCGGGCACTATATATATTAGGGTAACATGGTGGTTGGAGGTGGTCAACAGGAAACCCTGGACCCGGGTTTCGTGCTACTTGGCACTCGTCAGCAAGGTGTACCTGTAATCTTGAGGGAACTGATGCTCCCTGGCGGATTCGATCCCGCGTCACTCAGCTTCACAGTCAGAGACGTTACCACTGAGCTATTCGGGCCGCGACCGACCTCCTGTAGGACTGAGATCTAATCACAATTGATTGATCACTGGGTGGTGATCAATCTCATGCGTGTCAGGTCCTTAGTGCTGATCGAATGCTATCGATCAAGTTGCAATGTGGTCACCAGTCTAGGTGGCTCGACACTGCGGGCACTATATATATTAGGGTAACATGGTGGTGATCGATAGCATTCGATCAGCACTAAGGACCTGACACGCATGAGATTGATCACCACCCAGTGATCAATCAATTGTGATTAGATCTCAGTCCTACAGGAGGTCGGTCGCGGCCCGAATAGCTCAGTGGTAACGTCTCTGACTGTGAAGCTGAGTGACGCGGGATCGAATCCGCCAGGGAGCATCAGTTCCCTCAAGATTACAGGTACACCTTGCTGACGAGTGCCAAGTAGCACGAAACCCGGGTCCAGGGTTTCCTGTTGACCACCTCCAACCACCATGAAACGGATTGAAAAAAATTTGAAAATGGGATGAAAATTTTTTGATTAAGGGGGACAAAAAAATTTATTTAAAAAAAAATCAACGTGACCTTAATGTTATTCAATTTTTAGGATTGAGTTTAATTTGTATGTACGATAATAGTGTGAAATGTGAATTATAACTTGTTATCTAATGCTCAACTTGTTATCAAGTCAAACCTTGGTAATGATACCTATATTTTTATTCGAGTAAAATTTGTTGGATTCCGATCAAAATTTTTTTGATCTGATGTATTAAATTCGTTAAAACTTTTATTGTTATCGTTTTTATTATTAGTCTATCTTGACATGGTCTTTTGTGACCTTGTGTCATGTTAGTTATGTCTCAGTTCACAAATTTTTGTTTCGTATCTAAATAAAATTTTCAATGAAAATGTACACTTTTTTATAGGATACAATGGAGTTAATCATGGTATCGAAGTGAATGATTTCAACGTTAATTTTTCGCGTGAACACTTGGTGACATTTTTGTCTGAATGTGATGCACCTTTCGAACGATCGTTTTGTCCTCCGGTATTCCTACACGGGAATATTTTAGATTTGATCGTTCGCCCAGTCCAACAGCCAGGTATGGTTGAAAGATTGAATGATTTCCCACAGCCTTCTGAAATGATTCAAAATAATCTAGATACTCATTTAAATAACAGTGTTATTAATCCTGAAAATATATGGACTTCAGAAGGAAGCCAAAATCATTCATCGGACGCTACGATGGAAGTAGAGGAGAATGATCATGTGGTAAACGAAAATATCCATCAAAATGATGATCCGGATAATAATAATAATGATGATGATGATGATGACAATGAAAATGAATCTGATCCTATCAAGTGGGAAGAAGAGTTTATTGTTGAATCGCCACCTTTGATACACTCAGATAGTAGTCATCCGTTATCTAATCAAACAGGTAGGTGTTCATAGTCACTTTCGGTTGATCGTTTAGTGAGCTTATTTTATTGAAAATTTTTTAAGTGTAATTCCACAAGCAAGTACATGGTCATATAATCAGCTTTCAGCTACACTATGTACAAAAGCTATTAGCACTATCTGGTTGTTCAAATAAAGTAGGTAGAGCCAGGTTTTAAAACATAGTCTAGTTGCTAAACATCAAATGCACTAATCACCTAGCCATCACTCCATAACATGTTTGGTAAGCTCGTTTAACATTAAAAAAGACCTGTTCATTTTCATCTATGTTCAGCTTTACTATTGTCCTATTTGTTTAACTTCGTCAGATACAAACGTACAACCCTGGCCAGTATATGATCGGATATATGTGGGGGCTGCTGTAACTAGCCGTCTTCATTTACAATCCATACTACGATTGCTCAAAGTTGGTGGTATTCTAGTTGTTCCTTATCGAGATAAAGTAAGAAATAATCTTTACAGTTTTGTTCAGGTAATAGTTGTGTATAAATAACTCGATAACTCCTAAGATATGTACATCCTCACCGAGTCGAGTTTTCATTTTAACAGTCACGCTGTTTGAAGTTTTCTGATCATTTTAGAGAGTGATGGTAGATCATCTGATCGTTTGACTTCCTTGAAAATATTTTCCTATTAGGTTATATCCGCTGTAGTAACCCCATATACACTCGGAGCATGAAAAGCAACTAATCCAATGCAATATCGGATAGTGAGTTGAGGTAACAGACTGACACAAACCGTTGTGTGAGCTTATCCAACTTTTACGTGTGTAATTATGTATAGGTTAAATCATATTAATCCATATGTATAACTTTGACCTTTTATTTATGTATGCTTCCCATGTGTTTTTGTTTATTTTTGCTTATTTATATTGCTCTTTATCTTTCTGAACTATATCAGCTGAGATACAAAGTGATTTTAGTGATTTGACTGGCAATGTTTCCCCGATTTCTATCTATTTGCATGAAATGTACGCTTCCCAAATACATTCGTATTCGACTTATCTTACTCTGTTATCGCTCACGAAATATAGTTAAGGCTTTTATACAAAGTTCATTAAAGAGCTACATTTCATCATCGTCATCAAACGGGGTCAACTGACGATGCTAAATAATGATGAAATTTCTGGCCATACATTTCATTTTTTTATATACACACATTTAAGAAAGTCTAGATTGTTGTGATATATGATTTTATTACTAAGGACTAAAACCTTTTGTACAAATATTGGTCAAATTTTAGACGAACAGTTTGACAGAAATTCGACGCTCGCTATATAGAAGACAATGTATGCACAAACTGTCACAATTGATTGATCACTGGGTGGTGATCAATCAATTGTGATTAGATCTCAGTCCTACAGGAGGTCGGTCGCGGCCCGAATAGCTCAGTGGTAACGTCTCTGACTGTGAAGCTGAGTGACGCGGGATCGAATCCGCCAGGGAGCATCAGTTCCCTCAAGATTACAGGTACACCTTGCTGACGAGTGCCAAGTAGCACGAAACCCGGGTCCAGGGTTTCCTGTTGACCACCTCCAACCACCATGTTACCCTAATGCACAAACTGTATTTGAAATAATCTAAACGATTAAAATTTAAATAGTTTCAACTTTTCTCCCAGCTAGTTTGTCTGTATTTCTTCAGGACAATAATGAAAATCAAAATTATCGAATATTTGAGGTTTAAAAACAGATCTACACCAAACACTTATTCAATCATTTACAGATGTTAGTTTTTTGTACAGTGATGATAATGTGAGTCTTAAGATGTGGAGACTGATCATAATATGAAAGATGAATGTGTGTGTACTTGCATGTTGTCGTTAACTAAAATTTAGTGATTAGGTGTAACCTTTTTCAGTAACAAAGGAAATCATAATGGTTTTATTCATCATAACGTTAATGGTACATATGAGCATTTAAATTGTCAAAATGTATGTAGAATCAGAAGTCATATAGTTCGTTGTCATGTTGAACACCAAAACTAACTGGAAATAAATCCAAATCACCATATTTGGCTGGTTAATTGTTGTAACCAAACTTAAGGTGATATAATTAGGGTGAATAATAAATTTAAGTATTTGTTAATCAACATCTGTCGAGAGGGTGAGCAATTATCTCAGAATTATTCTTTAGCTTCTTTATGTCTATCGTGGATTAAAAAGTATATTTCAGACATTGTTTTCCTTCAAGCTCACATTCAGAGGCCTTACGTTTTTCTCACATTTACTCTACTACATTAATGACGTTTAATTTAATAGAAAACTTCATTTTGCTCTTCTTTTAGTGGGCTATCCTTAACTTTAGACAACGTCTTCCTTACAGTATCACTAGCGCGAAAATAAACTCTCACATCATGCTTCTTTAGAATCCACTTGATTTCTTAAAATGTTTCTTTATTGCACGGACTGACTACAGAGTTCTTTCATCGACTCAGTAGATACGAAATTTATTTTCCTTTCATTTTTGGTATTGTTTTGCGAAAGCTTAGAGTTAATTGTTTCGCTAAGTGCAAGCAGGCCTAAACTTAATTAAATATGTTTATCGTCAGTCTCTGTAATAGGATTATTACAACTGTTAAACAGCTTGTTGAGATCCATGTGCTTCGTCGAACAAGCGAAAGCCGACTAATAATCTACATACTTAATAACTTACACCTGTCAACCCTCTTATCCTGAAGGGAAACAGAGAAGAGGAAGGCCGAAGAATGCACTACGTCGGGAATTGGAAGCAGGCATGAAAAAAATGAATGGCAACTGGAAGTAACTGGAAAGGATCACACAGGACAGGGTTGGATAGAGAGTACTAGCGGGCGACCTATGCTCCTCCAGAAAGGATAGCATGCGTACGTTGGTAAAAAAGTTAGTTCTGCTTGTCAGCTCCAATGCTCCTCTTCACTCGCTTGTTTGATTCTGTCTATTCAGTTTGTGCTTTGAATTTCTCTGTTCTTGTTCAACTGTTGTTAATTGCTGTCTTCTTGTTCTTCCTTTCTTGAGTCTTGTCCAGGGTTTCGAAAGAGATCCATTCCTTATGACGATGCTTCTTTCGGTCCAGCCCCTCCAAACATGTTGAAGTTAGTGTTTCTGTGATCCCTTTTAAACTGCCCTCCATAGTAGTTTCTTCTTCTGTCAATAGATCTCGTTAGAGTTGGAACCTGTTGTTGATAGCTATCTTAGATTGGTTGAGTTTGTTAGTATCTCGAAGGAAGGTTGTGTTGAACTTTTGTAATATTGTTTCTCCAGTCGTCCATTGCTTCTTTAGTTTCAGTTTTTACTTGGCAGCCACCATGTGATGTGAAGCTATATCAACTCCTCCCTTGGTCCACACGTCCTCCATTGACCTCCTGAATTTTTTGGTGAAGCAAATATGATTGATCTGGTTCTCTGTAGTGTGATATTGTGCCGCCTATAAACGTTTCGTTGAATGCACATAAATTTGCAAACCTATCACCATCCTCGTTTCTGTTCTCCCAGTTCATGTTGTCCCATGATATTTTTATATTCGGTGTTGTTCATTCCAACTCTGGCGTTTATCTCTCTCATCAGGATGGCCAGGTGCTCTCTATGATCGATTGCAGCCTCTCATAGGACTGATCTTTATCGTTGTCGTTGATGTCATTAGTGGGTGCATAACATTGGATAACATTCATTGTGACTCCCTCCTTCTTTGTTTTGAAGGATACTTTGACGATTGTAGATCCGTGAGATTCCCATCCTATAAGTGCTTTTCGAGATTCCTTGGATAGCATCAGAGCAATTCCCTGAGTATGCTGAGCTTTTTCTTCTTCGTCACCAGAGTACAGCAACATCTCTCCCGAAGTTAATTTTTTCTGTCCAGCTTGAGTTCAATGTGTTTCAGTGATCCCGAGTACTGCCAATTTGTATCTTTGCATTTCTGTAGCTATTTGATTTGTCATCGTGGTGTTCCACATGGTCCGAACATTCCATGTACCTACATTAATTGTTGCTCTGGTTGCTAGAAGGGGCTTGAACCTTGTGACTTCAGAAGAATATTGGCGTCATAATTTTCCTGAATGAAGGTCGTTAAACTCCTAGGGGAGAGCTTTAATGGTTTAATTTGTTTACTCTGGTTAGCGTTTTTAGCAAAGTTGTTTTCTATATGATGGAGGTTAGTGACCACATGCCCAACCCTCCTTTACTCAGGCTTGGGACCGGCAGTAACCCTAGAAGTGCTACAGGCGGAGTCGACCCATAATCTGACGGTTTTCTAAATGTACTAATTATCATATTATTTGTTATTATTATGGTTGATTATTATGCGCTTTTTATTTTTAACGAAAAATGTTGTATATATATGTGACGTCATATGTAATTTTGTAGTGAAACGAGTAATCGAAATTATCTGTATAATGAAAGGCACTTTTCTTTACTTTGTAACATGAGATTTTCTGGTGCGTGTATTAATAATAGTCTCTAATAGAAAAGATAATCCTTCCAATTTTTTTACTGCTCTTAGTCATAAAGTTGTGATTATATATTTCAATGAATTGGTATTTAATTCAGGTGATTATTTTAAGCAAAAACTGATTTATATTGTATGAGATTAGTTTACCTATTGAGTTCGTCGCCTATTGAGTAAAGCGTTTGACTTTCACCTACTAGGTTTCAAGTTCAGATTCTGCGATGCTTACTTTAGTTTAGACAAATGTTTAGTATTACTAGCCTTGCACAGAAGCCAGTGATATAAATTATGTACACAACCTTGCGGTAGATTAGTGACTTGAAAGCGCATATCATTGACATGTGAGAGCAAGGAAATATCTAAAGCATCCAATTTCTTTGATTTCATTTTACTTAAAATGTGAACATAATCTGGGTACATGTAGAACCTTAAGTATTGTATGGGTTGATGTCATTATTTTTAGTAAAATTAATACCGCATATTTCTATAATCGCTAAAAAAACAGTATGGCAAAAATAGAGATAAAAAGTTCAAAAACAAAATTACCTAGACGAAAAAACCAAACGTTCACATTTTCATGTCATCTGTTTAGCCTTTATCTTGATATTTTTATAAAAAATATTTCAGTTCATGAAGATCAAACGGACAGAAGAAAATAAAATAACTGCATCGGAATTGATGTCAGTTAGCTTTGCAACTCTCCTTCCATCAAGAATAGGTTCAGAAAAACAAGTCGAATCGCGTAAGTGTTTTCAGATGCAGTCTGTGAAATTCAGTTTTTTTATATACGTTTCTTGTTGTTTTGGAGTCATATTCTAACGATACAGAAATTCGTCATATTTTATGTAGGTATAATGCACAATTGTTGATCAACAGATTTCTGTCAATAATGCAAATAATTGAACTAACTAATGTAACTGGACAACAAACTACACATTTTTGTATTTGGTTACGGGTTCTTTACTACGCGGCGAGTCACGTTATCTTGATTATTGAAACCCAAATTAATAGAACGTTGTTCGAATAATCGTATTAGTAGTTGTAGTTCAAATCTATAAACGGTTGAGCTAAAGGTCTACCTTAATTAGACTATAAAATTTTAGTACAACTAGTTCAAGAGATCATCCGTACTTTGATTGATTGATTAGTGGTACTTGGGTCTCTGGAGCTAAATGATCCACGTCTTATTATAATGAATAGGGAATAGTCATCATCGAGGTTACATGTACACTGATGAAAAACAAACATGTACATTAAACCCATTTGAGTAATCTAATTACCTTCAATGATCTAAAACCCTGTTAAAACCAACTTTTATTTAACTATTTGTAATGAAACGTGTAATTCTAAGTCCATTCGTTCGTCAATTGATAAAACTATTCGTCAATAGATTTGTAGTGCCGCGATTCGTTAATCGTTCGTTTCGATAATCGATATAATTCTAATCTTAACGGCGCGTAAAATCAGAAGACAAAGGATGGCAGCAACTACAGTTTAGTGGAGATGGTTAGGAAGCCAACTCGAGAGTGAAGCAAAAATAATGCGTGTTGGAGATTGGCGGGAAGCCAACACGCTATGAGCAAGCATTAATCAACATTTATAGTCAGACAAAAATGAGTGATAGACATATGATGAATAAGATACGAAGTGTACACATATACGCTCATATAAAAGTATAGTCAAGGTCAATAAGCGAATAATGTACAAGATCAAAATATGACTCATGACAGGCGAATTGGCTTGGCCAGTAGCTAGGATAAAGTATATGGGCTTAACAAATAAACTGATACTACATAGCCCCCTTGTAGAAAATAGCACATTTATAAAAAAATGTCTGTTTTCGAAAAATAACACTGAAGTGGTATGTTAATAGTGTCAACATGTATGGAAAAAATGGTACAATACCTGATAAATTACAGTGTCAAGTGGGGTGAGCGTATTAAAAGAAAGTGTCAAACTTATGTAAAAATGTACATGAATATTGTCAAAATGAGGACTGAAATGGAAATGATAGCATGTGATTATGAGTACATTAGTAAGCGTACAAAGAAATTTAATATGGGTTTATGTCGTGACTTTTCGGATGACAAAATAACATGTTCATATGAGCGATTCGAAATATCGTGAAAATAGAGTAATAAATCGTTAATAGGTATGACAGCGGATTAAATCGTGGAAATAAGTAATGTAGAATATAATAGAAATTGGTCTGTAGTGCCGATTGAACATGAGGATAAAGAACAGCGAAATATGTTGATGCTGTCTAGTTTGGAAAAAAATGAAGATTTCCTTACAATTAAATTTACCCAACTAGACAGGCTTCAAAAAACGCTGCTGCTTTCAAAAACTTGGGGTCAAATGAAAATGTAAAGTAAATCAATCTAATATTGCCAAAGCTTTCCGTAAATACAACTTATGATAAAGCCGTTCGGATCTTTGGAAGAATTTTTTGCAACAAATTCTCAACCCTTAGTTTTCGCCACATTCGTCTGAAGCTGTTTAAAGAACAAAATATTATTTTATTCTTGATACTAATAGAGTGAATCATACAAGCTGATGTCTTGATTTTGATTTGTCACGTCGAATTCAGTTAAAATGCCTTATTTTTGCATGATTTGTGGATAAAGCAGCCGATCTTGAAGTTCATAATCTCCAATAATCACTTATGGAACAAAAGTCATCAATGATTATTCAAAATATGACAGCAGAATGTTGACGCATTATCAAGTCAGAGCAGACCAGTCTAGACTGGTCAACGTTAAATCAAGTGTAAGGGCTACGATAGTTTGTGCATTTAATTCAACTAGTCATAAAAGTTCCTTCAATACGTCTGTTTATCTAAGTAAATTGATGTGCTCTTGCTACTGTGGCTGTAATTACGACTACTGTTGTTGATATGTTAAACAGAAATACAGTAAGTAAGTAAAAGTTGATTACAAAGGTGGACTCAGTAACAAAACTGATCCTACTCGTTTAGTTATTGAGAGACGCAGGTCAGTGTCCTACGGATTTGTTTATTCTGTCAACGGAGTATAGAAAATGGGTTGAGGACTCAAATGGATACGACTCAGGATTGGTCCTTTTAAGAAAAGGAAGATGATGTAAGTGAAGGGAAACATAAAACTCGATATGCCAGTTATATCTGTTAGTTTTAGCATTTCACTTTTACAATATTTGTGAACTATGTTCATACATCCATTTACCGATCAATCACTGCCGAGCGCTTTTCAGTTAGAGTTATTTGAAATTTAACTGCTCATCAATGTATATAAGATTTGTAACAGTCAGTATCTTGAGACAAAATTTCTAATCTGTTTTTAGCGTTTAACAAAGCTTCATATATCAGTCAGATTTAGCTTTCTATCCTTGTGTCAGGTCATCTTAAAAGTTTGCGTTTACTAAGCTCACACCAGTTCGACAACTAATATAACAGTATTCAAGGTAAATAAAGTGAAATTGAAATCATTAACAGATCTGAGTTTGACAACCACTGAACACCTAGGATTGCTGGACAGCTGAATAGGAACTACTGAGGATAAAATAGCTGTTTAGTGCATCTACGTTTTCAACGATTTTCTCACTTGGAAGGGTTTGTAGTACTAAACTTAAAAATCATAAGTTGCAAACTCTTTTGTTGTTGTCTAACTAGGCAAATAAATGAGACCACCTATCTACCAACACAAAAATCCGCAAACTGATCATTAACTCTAGTGTTGAGAGATGTTTGATATTTAAGACTATAGTCCTTGTATTTTGTTGTGCCGTAAAACAGTCAAGGTTCTTGAATGATGTACTTTTCAATCCGTTACATACTTTATTGTAAGAAACCTGTTTCATGTAGGACGATTATCCCGTATGACTCTGAAACCCAAAAAATCATTGGCGAGTTTCAGTCAGTGACCACTAAATATTCATGTACATCTCAGATAATAAAGTATAAAAATTCGAGTTCTAATCCATTATTATGACGGTAATGTGTACGTTTAATACAGCCCTCCTTCGGCGTATTAACAAACTCAACCAATCCAAGTTAGCTATCAACAACAGGTTCCAACTCTAACGAGATCTATTGACAGAAGAAGAAACTACTATGGAGGGCAGTTTAAAAGGGATCACAGAAACACTAACTTCAACATGTTTGGAGGGGCTGAACCGAAAGAAGCATCATCATAAGGAATGGATCTCTTTCGAAACCCTGGACAAGACTCAAGAAAGGAAGAACAAGAAGACAGCAATTAACAACAGTTGAACAAGAACAGAGAAATTCAAAGCACAAACTGAATAGACAGAATCAAACAAGCGAGTGAAGAGGAGCATTGGAGCTGACAAGCAGAAATACGAAGAAGACCTAACAAGAAGTCGGTGTTTCAAGATGGTGACACCAATTGAATTATCGTCTCGGCGCCCGAACGCGCGATGCCGAACCTCTGCATTACTAACATGGTGTTGCCACTGTATGTCAGCAATCCTTCGGAGACAACGATGATCGAACACAGAGAGACGTCTAACATCCTCAACTCGGAGAGGCCAGGTTTCACAAGCATAGAGCAAAACTGCTCTCACCGACGCGTTGTAGATCCGACCTTTTACAGCCAGACTAACATCACGAAGGCGCCAAAGATGGCCCAGATTGGCATAAACCGCTCTGGCTTTCATTATACGTGCATCAATCTCATCACTCACTCCACCACCAGCACTTATATAGCTACCTAGATACAAGAACTTCTCAACTACTTCAATCTGCTCACCATCTAGGGTGAGTGCAGGATGAGAATCCTGTCAGTCTTGTAGGAGTACTTTGCACTTGGAGGGTGCAAAACACATGCTGTACCTGCCGACACTGATTGCCAACTGATTAAGTGCGGATTGCATGCCTTGGGCATTATCGCACAGTAAGACAATATCATCCGCATACTCGAGGTCGAGAATTCGTTCTCCAGGCAACATATCCACACCGCCATTACTTACATCCATCAGAGCTGTTTCCAGGATGTCGTCGATGGCAAAGTTGAAGAGGAATGGTGAGATCGGGCAACCCTGCCTAACCCCACTGCTCGGATGGAACAAGGGAGAAAGGTGGTTGTATGCCCTCACTCTGCCTGTGTTCGTATACAGGGCCTTTAAGATGTTAATGAACTTCTCAGGCACACCCTTCTTCAATAGACAATCCCAGAGAACAGTCCTGTCCAACGAATCGAAGGCCGCCCTGATATCAAGAAACACTACGATTGTTGGCCTGCGATAAGTATGATGGTGTTCTAACATTTGGCGGAGGGTGAAGATGTGATCAATGCATCCTCGACCAGAACGAAAACCAGTCTGCTCCTCGCGAGTCAATCGTTCTCGGGTTTTAACCAACCTACGAATTATGACAGAAGCCAATAGTTTGGACGCAATCGGAAGTAGACTTATCCCCCGATAGTTGTTACACGAACAACGTGAACCCTTTTTAAAGATAGGGACGACTATTGACTCATTCCATGATGTTGGAACACTTTCTTGCAAACAACACCGTCAGTTCCTTGCGGACTTCCGCCTCGTTTGGTGGATCAGTCGTCACCGGCTATGGGGGGCAGGACAAGCTGGTTGATGTTGCCGGAGCAGCAGGCCAGTTGAACTGCCTTTCGAAAAATTCCACCCATCGTCCAAGACGTCGACAGATGTTAGTGATTGGCATCCCGTCATCCTCGTAGATTGTTTCACTCACACCAGACTTCTTGCTGCCAGTGGCTCGGATGAGTTGGAAGAGCTTCCGGCAGTTACCAGATGCAGCTGCTGCTTCCATCTCATTAGCACGCTCCGACCACCAGGCTTCCCGGTCCTTACGCAAGCTTTGCCCGATTTCATTACGTAACAGCCTTCGTTTGTGGTCAAACTCACGGTCACCCGGAGTAGACCGACGGGCTTCGATCAGTCGTAAGGAGCCAGAAGAAACCAAGTGCTTATAAGCGGGACGTTTCGCGAAGCTGCAAGCGGCTTTACTCGCCATTTTCATGGCGTCGTGAAGATGCAACCAATGCTCATCTATACTTTTCGGTGGGGTTGTAGCTAGCCTAGAGGCTAGCTCCGCTCGATACTTACTTGCAACAGAAGTTGCAGCCAGTTTACTAACATCAATCCGTTGGTGGTGGTCAATCCTTCGGCCACTGAAAAGTAAGGTGAGATTGACGCAGACCAGGGCATGATCAGACTCCAGATAGGTACTCCAAAAGGAGCGGCAGTCTTGTACACAACCACGCCAGCGGTAGCTGATCGCGATGTGATCAATCTGAGTCCAGGCTTGAGATGCAGAGGGAGGACGCCAGGTGGCACACCGGTGATGACTGTGCCGGAAGTTAGTGCTAGCCAGAAAGAGGTTGTGGTCAGTGCACAGTTGCAGCAAATGGTCACCGTTATCTGTCCTGCGACCAACAAGTCCCCATCGGCCACCTAAACGACTCTCTTCTGTGCCTAGACACTTGGCCTCAGCTATCAAGTCTCCAGCTAATACTACAATTTCTGTCGAACGCGCTTTCTGGAGAAGAACTGTTAACTGATGGTAAAACTCATCCTCGATTGCATCCGGGCTGCTATCTGTCGGGGCATAGGCGGAGATGACGAAAAGACTCCGTTCTCACGCCTGTTTCTTCTCACTTTGATGGAACTTTCTAATCTAACAGCACATAACCGACTGTTAATGGAGATCCAATCGATTAGTGCTGCCTCAGCCTTAGTGCTTAGTGCAACACCAACGCCTGCAAGACCAGACGAAGATGCCACAGAGTCCCCGGATAAGCGCACGTGAAACAAGCTTTTCGAAGCGACAGATGGAGAGCGAATTTGTAGTACTTCACTAGAGTCTTGAATACGGGTCTCGGATAGACAGCAAACATCAACATTAAGACTTTCTAAAGACATAGCCAGCCCCATCTGTTTTCCGATAAATATGCGCCTCACAAATCTCATTCGATTTGTGTGAGGGCTGAGATACTGCCCAGGTGCCCAGACTGAAGCAGGTGGTTTTCTTAGGGGGCCACACCCCGAGCCTTTGACCTAAAGGTCTGATACACAAGGCAGTGGAGCATCGTGAGGAGATGCAGTCCCATGGTAGCCGGTGACCAGCATCAGGTTCATTCGCCATTCGTTCCAACAGGATACTTGAGCCCATGTGCACCATTGGTTTGGAATCAGGGTTTTCCAACTCCCCTAGGTGGACTTCCCGTGTCCACCAACCCGGTTAAAGCGCCGGACATTCGCTTTTCGTTTTCTCACTTTCGTAAACAACACTCCTGCCACGAGAAGACAGTGAGTAGGAATTCCCTGACAGAGGCTGTATATTCGCGTGGCCATGTGAGAGCATTTCGAGAAGGAGAGCGGACTCTCCCCACTCTCGGCTGTACCAGGGCATTTGGGGGCAGTTCTAGTGTACGGAGCTGAAACTTTGAGAACCACCGTCATTTATGAACAATTACCTACACATGACACCCAATGTCCGTCTATCAGATACCATCAGCAACAGACTACTGTGGGAGAGAACAAACCAACTTTCAGCTGAAGAGGGAATTAAGAAAAGTCGGTGGATAGTACATACGTTGTGGAAATCACCAAGCTGCATCACGAGGTAAGCCCTAACTTGGAATGCTGACGGGTAAAGAAAAAGAGGAAGACCAAGGAACACATTGTGTCGAGAATTGGAGGCAGACATGAAACGGATGAATGGCAACTTGAAAGGATTTCCGAGGACAGAGTTGGTTGGAGAACCCTGGTGGGCGGCCTACGTTCCTCCATGAGGGCTAACTGGCGTAAGGAAAGTAAGTAATTAATGTGGAGGTAGTAAGTTCTGAGTTCACCTACCTGGCTTTGAATACTGAATATGTGGATACGCTGTTCATGATAGCTTTTTTTCAAATATCTGCTTTTTTTTTCAAATACTGTTGTGAAATAATATTATCATTTATCTGGCATAAAACTCAACCCTCATTTGTGCGTTAAATTTATATATTTTTAAATATAGGTTTCACGGTAGACACATCATTAATTTGTAAGGATATAATCTCATTGATTATTCATTCACGTTTAATAAATTTATTGTCACATGTTAGTGGTCTACCTGTGGCGTAAATTTCAATAACTATCCTTCTATTTACCATCGTTTCATCACTACAGCTCCTAAACAAAACGTGATATCATTAGAAAAATTAGCTGCCCGCATAATACGCAACCTTCTTCGAGGCGTCATCGAGTTTCGTCATAATGGTCTACCCATACTTGGCCATATGGAAGAAGTAGAAGAGGGGGAGGGTGAAGAAAATACAATGTGTGATACAAATGAAGATTCTGATACTCTGATGAACAATACTGACATAGAAGAACTTGGTGAACCAAATAGGGAAGGTGGTGATAGTGTGTTACAACCTAGAAGTCCAGTTTCACAAAACTGTTCAATGGCTCGATTTCTGTGAGTTCGACATTCGTATTTCTTAAGGCATGGTAGTAACATATTTTTTCTCGAAGTAAATATGTATTCCCCTTGATAGGTAGTCTGTATATATTGATGCTATAAGCTTAATATAGAAATGTTGATTATAATGATTTTAGCCGTTTTCAGTTCATTTGTTAGGCTAGCAATATTTAATCTTCTGTTCTGAATAAATGGCAAAAACAAGATATGATGCAAGTCTTTCATAAGCTGGACTGCCGAAGCGCATTGTTTGCAGTAGAATTCATATCTCTTTAGTGATCAGAACTCGTAGTATCTGAATCTAGCGATAGATTGTACGACCAATGCTTTATGACTAATTTATATAATCATATCATCATCGGGCTAACCAAAACGCTTTATAACTGGAGTTGTATAATTTAATTCCATTTCTAGCTGTCCACTCATACCCGAATAATGTCGATCATTTCAATTAATAAAATCTAGTTACATGTTGAGGTGACACTTATGTGCTTACTCGAAAAAAGATATTGAGAACAAATATTTACACACCAGTGGATACATTTTATTTCGCATCGTACGATTAACTGTTATTCTGTATTTTGTAAACAACTGGAATGATATCCAAACCAATTTAAACATAAGTTGAATATCCATCGCCCTAAATTTAAATTGGAGAACGCTTTTTTTTCGTATGGATTATCTCTTTCTTCAGATAAAGAGGTTAATTTAATTTGAAATGATTTGGATCATCTCACTGTTGATATTTTGATTGAAACTTAATATGCAGGGATTGCCTCGATATACCCATTATGGCACAAGTTGATATAGAATAGATGGAATGTGGTTAACACTGGAATTAAGGCGCACATTTCGTCCTATATAGAACTTGTCAGTTGGACTTACCTGTATTCCAAAGTTAATGCTCACTCCGGGACTTGAACCCAGTACCATTTACTTTAAACTTCACCGCGTTATCCACTTAACCGTTGGGTCACTCACTTGCGCAACGAGTTTAAGTCCCGGAATGAGCATCAAATTAGGGTTACTGGCACATCTAACTAACGAGACCCAAATAGGATAAAATGCACGTCCTGGATTCCACTAATAGGCACATTTCATCTATTCGGTATCAAAAAACTTATTGTTGATTGTGTTTCACTTTATATCTTAATACCGTGTTCAAGGAGAGGGTAATAAACTGTTAGAGTAATTCTAATCTTGGAAAAGTGTAAAAAATTTTAAACTGATTAGCATCACAAAACAGACTTATATATTCGAATATCATCTATCATATAATGTAACGTTCAGTCACCTTTTATAGAATAAGTAAGTAAAAAATGATAAGTGCATATTGTTTCTCAACAGATGATCGTATCGAATACCAAATACATCAGTACTTATTTGCAAACTAGGTAGTATTAGTACCTTAAAGAATTAATGTTGAGTTAATATATCATTGTATTTTTCTGTTTTCTCTAAGAAAAGTTTTCACTAGTATTTCTTATTTCGACCTCTATTAACGGGGTCACTTCATGCATACACATACTCCTTAAAATCGTCTGAAAGTTTTTCATGCCACAGTAATGCTACAACTCCATAGTGTTTGCTTGTTTTAAATGTGATTATAACATTGTATTTCCTCTTGAAGATATTGTTAAATATTAATTATCGTTCTTATCATTAACATTTCATGGATTCATTGAACCCATTACATTAGTTAATACTATGGTTTTATTATTATTCCTGCGCGCTATTGCCTTACTCATATTACCAATTCATATATTTATGTTTTTATATAATCCATCCCTTTTATGATACATAAGATTTCTGTTTACAGTAAGTATGATTAATTATAGTTTAAATCATCTAATAAAATAATATAAAGGGGATTTCTTGAAGCAGTAAATAGGCGATTTCCAATACATTAAAATATTCTCTATCTGATAACTTAGTTTCACTAGTGTAATTTACAGTTCAGAAGTTTATGGTGTTTAATATCTTAATACTAAATCAAGAGAACGTGACATTAATCATTGACAAATAGTCAATACCATTATTTAAATCAGACATTTTGTCTACAGACTAAACAGTAACAAGTTCTAATTTTCGAGAAAGTATAACTTTTCTTACCGTTGTCTTCTTTACCAGTTTATAACAACACTTACGATCCATAGATCATATAGGGTTTCTTGTCAATTACTCTTGAAAACTACCAGACCAACACGTTGCTGATTCATCCTATTGATAGGACCGATGAAAGTCCTGCTAGTATAACATGAATGTCATTATAAAATATCGTGTAACCTGCGTTTGTGATTCTAATTTCTGTATATACGTGTACATATTTATTGAAAATGAATTTTTATAAACCATTGTTAATTAATACAATTTTCCTTATTATTTGCATGATATTTTACTCTATTTTCTAAATGCATATTTGGTTATGTGCCTTGTAATCACAGACGTCTAGCCTATCTGTATGTGCTGCATTTGTCCTTATGCATTATCATTTTATAGCAATACTAGATTTGATAAGGGGTGGAATGTTTAAAATGAATCGAATTTTATAATAAGCATTTTGCATTTCCCTGAGAGAGAAATGACAATACATAAGGAGACTGATACAGATTTTGTATCCAATAGGAATTTTTTTTGCCATAGTTTGATTTTCCTCGTTTAATACATTATATCCTATGTACTTTTAACAGAAATGTTTACAGCTATTTTTTTCTTTATATATTGCTAATGTGTGATTTAATTTTTCCTAAAAGCTGGAAACCAAATTAGCTAAGTGAATGACCTTTTCTTATTGATCCATAATTGTTTTCCTATACCCTAAAGGAAAGTTTCTTTGGAACTGACTGGATAACTTGATATTCGTGGGTGACGTATTCTCATCTATTTGATAGTAAAGTCGTATCACTGAGGATGGTGCTTATCGACATTATATGGATTTTAGCAGATACATCCGGCTTCAGTTAGTAATATTAGTTTGTCATAAGGAATGAAGTTTATCGCTTTTGTTCCATTCTCTCTTCTTTGCTTGATGGTTAGTATATTTAAGATGTATGTAGCTCCCATGATATTACTCTAAGCGGACCCAACTGCTGCATGAAAATAGCAGCTACGGTTAGTTGACCATACTCCAACTAAGGGGGAGGGTATATGTATCAAGAACAAATATAATAGGTTATCTCTGTAGAAATCTAGACAGAAAGTTGCAATAATTGTATCCAATTACACACTTAACCAAATTTAACACCTCGTTCTTTGATGAATAGACTCGAATCTGAGGCTCAATATTAGAAATATGGTTTATAAATTTTAATGACGTAGAATTACCTATTTTTCTTCAATAGCTTCGAGTGTTTTACTTTCTTGAAATTATTTTCTAGCTCACTGAAGGAACAGTATTATGACCCATAACATTGAATTTATGTTACTAAACAAGCAATATCTTACTGTCTGAATCTTTATCTTATTGTTCGTCAAATCTAAATGTGTGGTTTTTAAATTTATGATTTGTTGGAAATGCGACGTTTCGTACTTATCGGATGTATGATCTGATTTTAGTCTATTATTATAAATCTACAAAACATTTGCTCTTTATTTTCAAAAAAACTCCCCAAATTTTTGACTTATTCCCAAAATAATTAGTTTATTATTTTGAATACATTACACGCAAGAAGTGCACGTCATGATAGAACGGCCACACGCTGTTATTAGGATTGCCATACAAGAGGGCATGTAGTCATTCACCAATCCAATTCAAAATAAATCCAAGGTAACAAGTTACCATACTTCAGTATTTCTGAACCTGTTCATTGTTTACATCGTTCTCCCACAATAGATTCAGAATACAGTTATTGAGATTATTGTGATATAAGATGGATATCAAATATATATATATCGTGAAAAACTGATAATTAGTTTTAGTTCCAAGTAACACTGAAGTGGTGGTTTGTGTACTCAATTTCCAATATGAAGGATACAGTTTAAATTTCAACTTAGCTGACACAACATCAACGGTCACTTATTTTTATTAACCATCAAAAAATATATGCACTGAGTCGTCCAGCTCACAAGTTTGTACACGACTACACCATAGCGTGCTTGGTGTCACGTATTAACTGAATTTGTAATCGCTTCTCAATTTAAATGGATTATTGTCTGATTTTAACGAATAAAAAATAACTAAATGGAATTTATAAAGAGATTATGCTGATGGTTTAAAAAGCACCAAATTCAATAGGTAGTTAAATCCGAAATAGGAATACTAGTGAAGCATTTTAAACAATAAAAGTTGGATGTGGCGCTCCTTTCTTAAAGGAGTCCATGGTTAGCATGGATTATTATTTAACAATATCTATCTTGTTGAATGAAAATTTAGTTTTGTAAATGATATATCGTGCATGTTGTTAATTTATATGAACCATTTGTAGTAAAGATGACTAATACGCATTTCTCCACACTTCCTTTTTGGGATGTACAGGCACTATTTGATAAATCACGCTGAGATAGGCAACGACGGATCACCTATTGAAGATACCAACTCAAACAGAACAAATTCAGGTGATGTGCAAAATGATACAACTGGAGATAACGCTTTGTAAGTGTGTGGTATTTTCCTAAATATCCTTCCACAGCTGTGACTAGTTTTTAGTACTTATATTGTGTACATTAAAGAGATAGACTAACTAGAAGCTGCTATTTCAAAAGTTCAACACAGCCCTCCTTCGGCGTATTAACAAACTCAACCAATCCAAGTTAGCTATCAACAACAGGTTCCAACTCTAACGAGATCTATTGACAGAAGAAGAAACTACTATGGAGGGCAGTTTAAAAGGGATCACAGAAACACTAACTTCAACATGTTTGGAGGGGCTGGACCGAAAGAAGCATCATCATAAGGAATGGATCTCTTTCGAAACCCTGGACAAGACTCAAGAAAGGAAGAACAAGAAGACAGCAATTAACAACAGTTGAACAAGAACAGAGAAATTCAAAGCACAAACCGAATAGACAGAATCAAACAAGCGAGTGAAGAGGAGCATTAGAGCTGACAAGCAGAAATACGAAGACCTAACAACAACAGTGGAAAAAGCTTCAAGAGTAGGCAGTATGCAACAACTATGTATCACTTTAGTCAACAAGACCTAGAGTGGGGACAATCGGATGTATTTGACAAGATTACAGAATATCTCACTAAAATCTGACAATCATACTGTAAACAGTTAATTTCCAAACTATCAATCAATTGTCTCAATCTTGACCGTACCTTCTGCAAATATCAGTTCATCGTCTCGGATTATCATCGTTCACGAATTTTCATACCGATTGCGCTTTGTTGCTATTCTTTCCTTATCGACCTTCTGCTGCATTACATTCTATGCCTGACCATCATCACCAAGTACTATGTATGTGGATATAAGTAACCCACACCACAACACAACGAAGAAACTAACAAGGAAATACAGTAAACCAGAGAAAACGGTCAAGGATAAAGAAGACAAGCCAATCACTGAGATTCAAGAACAGAGGGACAGATGGGTGGAAAACCTTGAGCAACACTTGAATAGGCCAGCTTCACTGAATCTCCTGGACATCGAAGCAGAACATACAGACCTCATAGATAGCTATCCACCAACGATCGAAGAAATCAGGATGGTCATCAGACAGAGCAGATAATGGTCCCGTCTTTTTCCGAGATTGTAGTACTTACACTTGAACTCTTAATTCCGGTTTCTTCCATAAGTTTGAAAATTTGTCTGGTTTCTCCTACAGCCGCTGCCATTTCCATCTCTTTTGCTTTCGTTGCCCACCATTCTTCGATACTATGGTACACCTGAAAAGATCGTCAACATCATCCGGAGAAGCTCTGGAAATTTCCACGTACGTGATCATCATCATCGACGAACAAGGAGGATCTGATGCAGACGTAAATGCAAGGATTGGCAAAGTAAGGGCAGCATTCCTACACTTGGAGAACGTATGCAACTCAAAACAACTGTCAGTCAACACCAATGTCAGAATCTTCAATACGAACGTCGAGACAGTTCTAGTGTACGAAGCTGAAACTTTGAGAACCACCGTCATTTATGAACAATTACCTACACATGATACCCAATGTCCGTCTATCAGATACCATTAGCAACAGACTACTGTGGGAGAGAACAAACCAACTTTCAGCTGAAGAGAGAATTAAGAAAAGTCGGTGGATAGTACATACATTGTGGAAATCACCAAGCTGCATCACGAGGCAAGCCCTTACTTGGAATCAGTCAGCTACAACGTAGCACCAGGCACATATATGCATCGGTCCAAGTTGCCATCCCTCGTTAGCACAACAAATTGAACACCGGATTCATAGAAATAGTTAATTTTGTGGTGGCAGTATATAAAAAATAGGTTGTATCTAGGGTTATAATATAGGAAAGAAGAACGTTATGAAGCAGTTTTAATCTCAAGGTTTACGGGAAGATAAACAGTGTATACACCTACGCCGTTGTGATCGATTCTGAGCCATGTCACACGGAGTCTCCAACCATTGGTTGCGATAGTCACGCGGACCCCAACCAAGTAGTTTGCATTTGTCAATATGACTCAGACTAGAAGTTAGTGACTTCATGCTCTGATGCCACGTTTTGGTTTGGCCGCCCCTAACTCTCTTCCAATCCTTGCCAATACTAGTCAGCAACATGCGTCGTGGTAATCGGTGTTCAGGCATACGTGACCCAACTGTCTTAGTCGATGAAGACTCATGACCTATTCAACTATTTACCATCATTCCCTAATACCCTGTGTCTAACCTCACTATTACTTACGCGGTGATCCCAGCAGATGCGAGCAATATTTATAAGACATCTTCGATCAAATACTGGTAACTTACGAGTATCTTCTACTCTTAATGGCCATGTTTCGCAGCCGTAAAGTAGAACAGAACGAACTGCTGTGCAGTATACTCGTCCCTTAATTGATAGACGGATATCTCGTCTTCGCCATAGGTGACGTAAGTTGGCAAAAGCCCAACGAGCTTTTTGAATCCGTGCTGAGATTTCGTCAGACACCAACCCATTAGGGCTAATCAGACTTCCAAGATAAGTGAAGTTGTCGACGCTCACTCCCTATCCTAAGTTCAGGTGTTGACGCAGGCCAGTCCTGGAGTAACAATTTACATTTGGATGGGGAGAAACGCATCCCAAACATCCTGGCATTAGTACTCAGTTCTAACAGAAGACTGCATTTTGTCAGTGTCTTCACCAAACAGGACTACGTAATCTGCGTATTTTAAGTCGATTAGTGGACCTCCTGGTAGGAGATCAATTCCTGAAAATTCAGTCGACCAGAGTGTAATTTCCAGCAACAGGTCTATAATGAAGTTCTATAATGAAGATAGTGGACAGCCATGTCGGACACCACTTGAGGTTGTACAATCAGATGACAGTTCACCATAAGCTCTCACTCGACTGGTAGTGTTCGAGTGAAGAGCATTCACAAGGTTTATGTACTTCTCAGGTACACCTTTCAATGACAGACACTGCCACAGAACCTTTCGATCCACAGAGTCAAATGCTGCTTTCAAGTCAAGAGAAACTATTTTCTTTATTTATTTAAACACATAAATATTGGTACAAGGAAGCACCAGATAAATATGCGCCTCACAAATCTCATTCGATTTGTGTGAGGGCTGTGATACTGCTCAGGTGCCCAGACTGAAGCAGGTGGTTTTCTTAGGGGGCCACACCCGGAGCCTTTGACCTGAATGTCTGATCCACAAGGCAGTGGAGCATCGTGAGGAGATGCAGTCCCATGGTAGCCGGTGATCAACGGTTGATTCGTACGCCATTTGTTCCTTCTGGATACTGGAGCCCATGTGCACCATTGGTTTGGAATCAGGGTTTTCCAACTCCCCTAGGTGAACTTTCCATGTCCACCAACCCGGTTAAAGCGCCGGACATTCGCTTTTCGTTTTCTCACTTTCGTAAACAACACCTGTGGTGCGAGAAGGCAGTGAGTAGGACTTCCCTGGCAGAGGCTATATATTCGCGTGGCCATATGAGAGCATTTCGAGAGGGAGAGGTGACTCTCTCCACTCTCGGCCGTACCAGAGCATTTACTTACTTACTTACTTACGCCTGTTACCCCTCGTCGAGGAGCATAGGCCGCTCACCAGCATTTTCCATCCAACTCTGTCCTGAGCCTTCCTTTCCAGTTGCTATTCATCCTTTTCATATCGGCTTCTATTTCCCGGCGTAGTGTGTTCTTTGGCCTTCCTCTTTTCCGCTTCCCTTCCGGATTCCAAGTTAGGGATTGAGTCGTGATGCACATTGGTGATTTCCTTGATGTATGTCCGATCCACTTCCAACGTCTTTTCCTTATTTCCTCTTCAGCTGGAAGCTGGTTTGTCCTCTCCCATAAAACGCTGTTGCTGATAGTATCCGGCCAATGGATGTTGAGTATTTTGCGTAGACAACTGTTTATAAATACTTGTACCTTCCTGATGATGGCCGTAGTAGTTCTCCACGTTTCAGCTCCATACAGTAGGACTGTCTTGACGTTCGTATTAAAGATTCTGACCTTGAAATTGGTTGAGAGTTGTTTTGAGTTCCATATGTTCTGCAATTGTAGAAATGCTGCCCTTGCTTTGCCAATCCTTGCCTTTACATCTGCATCCGATCCTCCTTGTTTATCAACGATGCTCCCCAGGTACTTGAATGTTTCCACCTCTTCCAGAGTTTCGCCATCAAGTGTGATTGGGTTGGTGTTCTCCGTGTTGCATTTGAGAATCTTGCTTTTTCCTTTGTGAATGTGGAGGCCTATCGATGCGGAGGCTGCTGCTACATTTGCTGTCTTCATCTGCATTTGGTCGTGTGTATGAGAGAGGAGGGCTAGGTCATCTGCGAAGTCCAAATCATCTAATTGATTCTGAGAAGTCCATTGTATTCCGTATTTCCCTTCGGATGTCGAATTCGTCATAATCCAGTCAATCACTAGAAGGAAGAGAAATGGGGAGAGTAGACAGCCTTGTCTGACTCCGGTCCTTACTGGAAATGCATCTGTCAGCTGTCCTCCATGCACCACTTTGCACTGTAATCCATCGTATGAGTTTTGGATAATGTTGACGATCTTCTGAGGGACTCCATAGTGTCGAAGAAGTTTCCACAATGTTCTCCTATCCACGCTGTCAAACGCCTTCTCATAGTCGATGAAGTTGACGTATAGTGATGAGTTCCACTCAACTGATTGTTCAACGATGATCCGTAGTGTCGCAATCTGGTCTGTGCACGACCGATCCTTACGGAATCCAGCCTGATGATCCCTAAGTTCGGCGTCTACTGCGTCTTTCATCCGATTCAGCAGCACTCTGTTGAAAACTTTTCCTGGTACTGATAACAAACTGATGCCTCTGTAGTTCTCACATTGGCTCAGATCTCCTTTCTTTGGTATCTTGATGAGATATCCTTCTTTCCAGTCCGTTGTCACTTGTTCCTTGTGAAGCAAGTTTGCAGTTATTTCAATGTCTGACTTCAGTGCTTCTGCTGGTATATTGTCAGGTCCTGCCGCCTTCCCACTTTTGATTTGTCTGATGGCCATCTTGACTTCTTCGATCGTTGGTGGAGTGACATCTATTGGAAGGTCAGTGTGGGCTGCTTCGATGTTCGGTGGATTCAATGGGGCTGGTCTATTCAGCAGTTCCTCAAAGTATTCTGCCCATCTTTTCCTCTGTTCCTGAATCTCAGTGATTGTCTTTCCTTCTTTGTCTTTGACTGGTCTCTCTGGTTTGCTATATCTCCCTGCCAATTTCTTCGTTGTATCATATAGTTGTTTCATATTCCCTTCTCTTGCAGCTTTTTCCGCCGCCGTTGCTAGTTCTCCCATGTATTTCTGCTTGTCGGCTTTAATGCTTTTCTTCACTTCTCTGTTTGCTTCTGCGTAGTCTGCTTGTGCTTTGACTTTCTCTGCTCGTGTTCGGCTGTTGTTAATTGCTAGTTTCTTGTTCTTCCTTTCTTGAAGTTTGTCCAGGGTCCCCATAGAGATCCATTCCTTGTGATGGTGCTTCTTAGGACCAAGAACCTCCTGACACGTTGAAGTTAGTGCTTCTTTTATCCCTTTCCAGTTGTCCTCCAAAGTAGTTTCTTGTTCTTTCAGTAGATCCTGTAGAGCTTGGAACCTGTTGTTGAGAGTTATCTTGAATTCATGGAGTTTGTCAGTATCTCGAAGGAAGGCTGTATTAAACCTTTGTAGTGCTGTTTGTCCAGTTGTCCAGTCTTTCTTTAGCTTCAGTCTCATCTTGGCCACAACCAGGTGGTGATCTGAAGCTATGTCAGCTCCTCTCCGGGTTCTCACATCTTCCATTGATCTTCGGAATTTTTTGTTGATACAGATGTGATCAATCTGGTTCTCTGTGGTGTGGTCCGGTGAGATCCATGTAGCTGTGTGTATGCGTTTGTGTGGGAATATTGTGCCGCCTATAACCAATTTGTTGAAAGCACATAGGTTTGCAAGTCTCTCCCCATTTTCATTTCTCTCTCCTAGTCCATGTCGTCCAATTACATCTTCATATCCTGTGTTGTCCACTCCAACTTTAGCATTTAGATCTCCCATAAGGATGGTGAGGTCCTTTCGTGAGCACTTTGCTATAATTGATTGCAGCCTTTCATAGAACTGATCTTTATCATCGTCGTTGCTATCATTGGTGGGTGCATAACATTGGATAACATTCATTGTGATCCCTTGCTTCTTTGTTCTGAATGATGTTTTGATTATCCTGGGTCCATGAGATTCCCATCCCACAAGTGCATTTCGTGCTTCTCTGGACAGCATTAGAGCAACTCCCTGAGTGTGTGGCGCATTTTCCCCTTCGTGACCGGAGTACAGCAGCATCTCTCCTGTACCTAGCCTTTGTTGTCCAGTTTGTGTCCAATGGGTTTCGCTGATTCCGAGTACTGCCAAGTTGTATCTCCTCATTTCCATTGCTATTTGGCTGGTCTTTCCTGTTTCCCACATTGTCCGGACGTTCCATGTACCTATAAAGAGTGTTGCTCTGGTTGTTAGAAGGTGCATCGGTCTCGTGACTTCCGAAGAATTTCGGCTTTCATCATGAGACGTCATTATTCCTTCAACTCCCAGGGCAGAGTTTAAATGGTTTGGATTATTTTTTCTGGTTAGCGTTTTTTTTAGCGAGTTAGCTTTTCTACGGGATGGGGTCGCTAACCCCATGCCCAACCCTCCTCCTTTACCCGGGCTTGGGACCGGCAGTAACTCTAGAAGAGCTACAGGCGGAGTTACCAGAGCATTTGGGGGCGCATAATGAATATGTGGTCGATACAGCCACGACCAAGTCCGGAGCCAGCCTGATTTTCTCGTGTTTGCAGTTCACAAGTCTTAGTTGAGCGCCCGATAATTATTGAGGCAAGTATTTTAGATGCTACGTTAGTCGGACTAATCCCTCTATGGTTATCACAGGATGATTTTGGCCTCTTCTTATATATTGGGACAATAAGTGATTGTGACCAGTCGGATGGGATTACGTCTGTTTCCCAGATTTTAGCCAGAATATTAGTCAACCTAGTCGCTAAAATAGGACCACCGTATTTAAAGACCTCTGAAGCCAATCTATCAGGACCAGCTGCTCTTCCTCGTTTCAAATTAGTTATAGCCTTTCGAACTTCAGATAGGGTCAGGGGGCCTACTTCAATGTTCCATTCAAACTGTCTGGGAATAGTGGGTAGTTGTGCACTAACTTGGAATCCTAACGGGTAAAGAAAAAGAGGAAGACCAAGGAACACATTGTGTCGAGAATTGGAGGCAGACATGAAAAGGATGAATGGCAACTGGAAAGGATTTCCGAGGACAGAGTTGGTTGGAGAACCCTGGTGGGCGGCCTACGTTTTTCCATGAGGGCTAACTGGTGTAAGGAAAGTAAGTAATTAATGTGGAGGCACTAAGTTCTGAAATACTGAAACTGTGGATTCGTTTATGATAGGCTTAAGTAAATAATAGAGATATAAATAGCTGACAGGGGGACTTTAACAACGGACTTGCGATACCATTACGCTAACGCTGAATTATATTGTTCGAATTATCCTAGGTAAGGATTATGAGATTAGGTTATATTGAGTAGGAAGCATGTTCTGATTCCTCGATATTAAGTACAAGTGGTCATTTTCACACCTTACTTTGTATCAAAACACAACTTCCATTTTGTGTTGTGTTTTCAATCATTTTTATGTACTTCAAAAAAAAACATTAACGTACTAACTTTTTTGTTTGAATGTCTGTCCATCCTCTGAAAATCTAATCCGCCCGCCTTAGTACCTGTAATGTAATATAGCAAATTTCACTGGGATATGCCCGCTGGTGTTTGTTGCCGTACTTATACAGTTTGAATAAGATTCATTGAGTCTGTTGAACCTGCACAGTTTAAAGTAAGTAAAACTCACAAACCATGTAATCTATGTTCATGGCGCGTAGACGTTGGATATGACGTCGTTTGCAGACTCCCACACCACTCATTTAATTTTCAGCTTATCTGAATTAGCTTAAGATAAGTTATAATTTACCATTAAACTTAGAATCTACACTCGAAATACAAATACGATAACTTCTTTGTAAATATACACTATTCTCCAAGGTCAATCTAATTCACTGGAAGATTTTCATGGCTAGACTAAACAGTTGGCAAAAATCCATTTGCTTAGTTGACTTGATATTTTAATATTTCTAACGCTTTTTAAATAGAGATGCAGAAACTGGAGGTTTTGACGGAACCGCAACCGAAAATCACCACAGTAATTCACCTTATCTACGAATCAATTTTTGTCGCTTTTTAAATGGTGTTAGTAATACGATTATCGGGACATCTACTGTTTGTGAACATAGTAACGAGGACGAAGATAACCAAATCAATGGGATTCTGAATACAAGTGCATCTGTAGATAACGAATCGACAATTGATGAAGATGTAAAGAACAAATCTACACCTCACAAACAACGAAAAAAATATCGTTGGGTTCCCCCAAGCTACACTTACAAAGAAGAAATGAAACGTATGCTTTCTGAAGAATTACGTCTTGGGAAGCCTTTAATTCGATCTGTGATTACATTGTGAAGTAGATTACTTTATATTTATTTCATTCAGATAACTCTTATTCACAAAAATTAGTAAGGCATGTTACCAAATATTTATAATCTATTTGTTTGTACTACGTAACTCCCTTGTTTTGTTCCATAACTCATCGACAAATCTTTAAACTTTGCCATGTTCTATCTTATCTTTTTACGCATGAAAACAATATAGTTTATGGAAAATTTATCTTTGAATAGGATTACTAAGGAAAGTAATTTCAAATTACAAATCTATCATTCAATCTTGCGTTTTTTGCTTAGCGCACCAGGTACTTCACTTATACGACCTCTGTGAGGATTCCATGGTCTAAACCACGAGCTCCTAAAACAAAAAATATATATATAGAAATATATTGCAATTATTGGTGACATAATAATACAAAATATTAGACTGTATTCATTGGATAGACTAATACTACACAGACATTATAAATGTGCCGTAAGCGGTGAACGATAAGGATATTCCGATATAATCGAAATACTTATTGCAATGATTATCGAAAATGTATAACCCTGTAACAGTTAACAAAGTCCCAGAAACCAGGTGGTTAGTACATTCCGTTACATCATACGGATTTAGTAAGGGTGACTAATTATATCATCTGTTTGCACAATCATTCGAGGCTTTAAGTGAAATGCAAAACGTATCTGTCCAAGTTTGTGACTGATGTAAACGTCAATTAGTGTGACGTGAAAACCACTAATTCACGAAACATTTGTATACAGAAGACTAAAAATGTTCTTTTGTAAATTATAGTTATCTACCATGGATTAATTGAACTACCTAATTCTAGAACAATGTTATTTTCGATTACATTCTCATCAGGCTTTATATGCAGTAATATTTATTAATAGTTAACAATTTCGTATATGCACATAAACATTATTGTACATTGGAGTAAAGCCTGATGGGGATTTAATCGAAAACAATATAGTTCGCTCATATATGTTGTTCTATCTAGTTTTGTTCAACTGCTCAAAAGATAAAATAATCCAGTGCCTTCTTTTTTTGAAAATGCATTAGGTAAAACGGAAGGAACAAAAAACTGAGTACACTTACTTATCATTAATGTCAATATTTTCAGCATTCTTTTCTTTGTTGCAGTTCTTAAGCACCTTATAAGCAAGGCGTCTTTCACCACGTCGACGACTAATCGAACCGTCTAAGAGTTGTTTCCTTTCAGCTTTTGATTGTTTACGCATAAGATTTACCCGCCTTTTCTTCCATTCATTTACAAGTCTTTCTAGTTCTTCATCGACTTCAGAACCACTTCTTTTCATCACAGATAATATCCCATCCATATGCGGGAGGTCAGAGTCAGTCCATAAGGTAATAGCCCGTCCATGGTGACCAGCTCGGCCAGTTCGACCAACGCGATGTATATATTCTTGTTTTAACGGAGGAACATCGTAATTGACTACCATACTGACACCCTAGTAACCATACAATATATTTAAAAATTCTTTGAATATTTAGACAATTAAAGATACGAAAATATAAAGCACAACAACTTAAATAAATGCGCAACATATAATGAGCAATTAACATTTGATTCTAATGGATTTTAAGTTCAGTGAGTGAAAATAAAATGTACTGAAAGTATTAAACACTGAATTCGTGTAAGAAAACAACAACACAGTGGTCCGTCTCAGATCGGCTGATAGTAATAATAATTTGCAGCAAATCCACAAGAATGCTGACGTCTAGGGATTTCAACGTGTTCGCCTCAAAACGTTTTCTTCCATTGATTCAGGTAGAAAGTATGTCGCGCATCTTATCAGCGGTTGTTTATTTAAGAATATAAGGCAAGTCAGAACGAGATGGAGTTCGGAAAGGCTTATAGCTAACCATTACTAAAAAGTGGATCCCCGAAATCTGAACTCATTGATAAGATTCTCAAAGAAGTGAATTCGTAAACTGGAAACATTTAAAAACACAACTTAAGAAACTTCACGTTAGATCAACATACGTTCTAACCGTTTATACTTCTGTATATTTGTTGTCATGAAAATAAATGGTCCCTTGAAATGCCGTGCGCTTAATAAGCTTCAATTAATTCCCAATTAGAAACGTTCGGGATCGTTACGTGCTAATGATGCTTGGAGGGGATACATCGAGCACTTTCAGTTTCTTCTAGTATATGTTTAATACATTATGATGAAAATTCTTCAATGTAATCAAATATAAGGCACTGAATAAGACGATTATATTACCATTAATCAAGGGTCAAAATGACATAAAGGCAAAAAAAGACGATGTATGATAAGTTTTTCTGATACAGCTTATATGCAAAACATAAATCAACCAGTTTAATTTCAAAAACTTACTTTAAAGTCTATTCCACGACCCAATAGATCCGTACAGATAAGAACATGAAGCTGTCCCTCACGGAAAGCGCGAACCACACTGGCACGCTTTAAGAAGAAGAAAAGCTTTATCGAATATATTAAGTAGCTAAAAATTAACAAATGATAACCATTCCATTGATTCACATATTAAATAACACTTGACAGGACTCTAACTTTTATACCATGAATGTGCAATTTATCGTGCTAATTCTTTGTCATGGAGGTTGCTAAGTTGTCAAGGCACTGGACATCCAATAGTTAGGTCGCAGGTTTGACGCCACTACATCAATATATTTCGGTCTGGATAGTCAAGTAGTATCAACGTGCCTTATAAAAATATGAGACCCAAAGTACATAAATGTATACCTGATAAAATTAATAGGACAGATTCTAATACTTCTTCACACTTAACTTATCCAAAGTCACTTATCACTTATACACAGAGATATTGTGACAGAGTTTGTCTCTACTTAATACTATACACATTTTCTTACTATGACTAAACCTTTTCCTTAGGTGAGTGGTCAATCTTTCCCAGTTCATCAAGCGTTGCGTTGACGGCGAACAGTATTTTTCATCACTTTTTCTCTCTTGATTCAAATGATACTTGAACACGTTAATAAGGATAGAAAATAATCAGTGACAAAGTAAGAAACTAAATAGAATATTTGCAGAACAGTGATATACCGTTCGTCACTAACTAAGATCAATTGTGAATAAACAAATTTAAAGTCCACAGAAAGTTAAATTCCCCCAATTACTATGTAAATCGTCCATAAATATACGATTGAGTGGTATTTAGCTATATTTGGAAGGGACGACAAATGATTTGTTTCCAAGTGGCTAGATAAGACATTAGTTCTGACTACCACATGATACTTTGGTTTCCTATATAACAAATAGAAATTGTATAATAAAAAAAGCCATGAATAAACCAAACTATAAGGCATGAACTTTCAAAAAGGATCTTCTTAATAATTTCACATTGTAATGAATATTTTGTGACTACTATTGTAGTGAATGAAAACTCAGGTTGAGAAAACCAATTTACCATTCGGTGTGAAATCACACGGTGCCTTTGTAAAATATGAAAATCATAAATTAAATACATCGTTTGCATAGTTTCTTTGCACTGTCTTTTACATACTCCACTATTCCTCTAATTCTGTTGTTATTTCGATCGCTCTCCGATTCCCTCCCTGTTCTCTTTATTTCAATATTCTGCTCCCAGGCATTCCACTTTCGATTGCGGCTACATACTACTTACATGTCAGCACAAATAGCGCAAACCACACTGCTACTACACTCATCACCAAGCAGGAAAATAAACTTTAACATAAAAATCTCTTTCTAAAAATGTATACATACTTGTGCTTCTGTTTTGTCACTTGAAATAACATTTGCAAGAATATCTGCATCAGACAATAGAATCTCCTTAAGAATTTCATTGGCTCTATCTCGAGACTGCATAAAAATTAAACATGGATAAGCTAGTCCATTAGCCAATAGATAACGCATCTCCAACAATTTCCCCTGTTCTGTAGCACAATAACGTAACTCTTGTTTGACAGTAGAAACAGCAGCATTTCTATACAAGTGGTTAGAAAAAAGTACTTAGAAACGGCAAAGGTTAAAAAGGGGTAAGGTGTTTGTTGTAAACTTAGTTGGTGACGACAGCTAATCTTATATGAAAGTGCAGTTAATTTCTTTCAATTTATACTTTTTGAAAAATAAGAGCATTCGACTTCTCTAAGTACCCATTAACCCAGGAGCCCCCAAATGCCCTGGTACGGCCGAGAGTGGGGAGAGTCACCTCCCCCTCTCGAAATGCTCTCATATGGCCACGCGAATATATAGCCTCTGCCAGGGAAGTCCTACTCACTGCCTTCTCGCACCACAGGTGTTGTTTACGAAAGTGAGAGGACGAAAAGCGAATGTCCGGCGCTTTAACCGGGTTGGTGGACATGGAAAGTTCACCTAGGGGAGTTGGAAAACCCTGATTCCAAACCAATGGTGCACATGGGCTCCAGTATCCAGAAGGAACAAATGGCGTACGAATCAACCGTTGATCACCGGCTACCATGGGACTGCATCTCCTCACGATGCTCCACTGCCTTGTGGATCAGACATTCAGGTCAAAGGCTCCGGGTGTGGCCCCCTAAGAAAACCACCTGCTTCAGTCTGGGCACCTGAGCAGTATCACAGCCCTCACACAAATCGAATGAGATTTGTGAGGCGCATATTTATCTGGTGCTTCCTTGTACCAATATTTATGTTTAAATAAATAAATAATTAACCCAGGAATATCATATACTTAACTTATTACTGTTATACATCTTGTCATAATACAACTGAAACTAATAAATTGCTGCATGAGAACAAACAGCCGTTCAACCAAGAGTTTACGCTCATGTTTCCTTTAATTATATTTGAAAACATAAGTTGATCTTTAAAATTCAAAGATTTGATGAATCAAAAGATAGGTCGAACTTCTATCGGTAATGGTTGGCTGAAATTAGTTATGTTAGCTTACAATACTTTGTTTTGAAGAAAGCACTTACATCATACCATTATTTTTGTAACAATAAAAAGTTGATTGGGATTACTTTGCAACTGCCTTTCACACTTTATTGCTTATATGTTAACTGACAAGTAAACTGTAGTCATACCACAGTGGTTGAATGCTATAACAACTTTCATAGTAAATTTAAACTTTTGTGGAACCCCCCCCTTCTACAACTATTTATGAAATTCAAAAAATCTGCATAAGCTGAAAAAAAGTAGATGCTTTGCTTTTGAACGACTATGTGCATACATAAAGATTTCCAACCATTAGGCGTTAAGTTATCTGGCCAACAAATTAGTAGACAATAACGTACTAAGAATCTGACGTCAGTAGAACCTTAAGAATACCGAAATTTAGTACAGAGTTATCTAACCAGATATTCAGATTTAACCTAAGCGTAAAAACACAAATACAGGTTTTGATTACAAAACTGAGGGGACATTGAACAGCGCAACACTACTACCCAAACATAAAGCAGAATAAACAAGCTCTTAATGATTGTTACTAATAATGTCTTACTTACCGGATACCTACTCGTAACTGAATTAACTCGTACTCCGAACTGTCTAATTTTAAGAGGACAGGTAGCTGATTTCGTGCCCATGAAACAACTTCATCAGGAACAGTAGCTGAAAATAAAGCGACTGAAGGTCTCCTAATTGATTGCCCGGTGAGGTTTACTTTCTGAATAAATTCAAAAATAGGCGCAACCTGATTATGAAATCCTCGAGGTCGGTATTTTGTCTTGTTACCATGTTCAGTGTTAGAAAAAGATATATCGTTAAAATTGACTTCTAGCATTTTATCGCATTCATCTACTACAAGCCAAGACAGTCTAAATTATGTAAAATAACAAATAATATATTTTAAGTGCAATTGCGAGATATAAACAAAGTGGCTGATTTATGAAAAACACTGGTTGGTACTTTGGGACCCTAGATAGTCCCAATAACTTTTTGGTTTAATTTCTAGACTTATTTGTATATACATACTTCTTTGTTAAAACAAAGGTATGAAGAGTGTTCGCAGAAAAACTATTCCTCAGATCATCTATACACAAATTGACATCATCTTACGTATAAACAGACAAAAATGCCTACTTTGCGTAATTCAAAAAACTATTTAGTAAAAAAGATTGTCAGCAGAAATTTAACCGGTGATGGTCACCAGAGCTTCAAACCTCAATAACGCCATTCCCGTTGGTCCATGTCAATACATACTAAATAAGGAACGCAAATCGATTGGTGAAGTAGTGGAACTTCATTAGTTGAGATTGCTGGGACACATGTTACGTATGCCCAACCACCAACTGCCCCCGACGTGCAATGTTTTATGGTGTAGGAGTAGGTTGGAAGAAAGCTAGGAACGGCCAGACCAACACGAAACACAAATCCATGAATTCATTGAAAAGTGGACTGAGCCATGTTGGTAGGTGTTGACTACCTGGTTGGGATCCGCGAGATGATAGCAATTGATGGTTAGAGACCTTGAATGACATGGCTCACAATCGTTTGCAATGGTGAAGGTGCATCCACTCATGTTTTGCCAAATTCTAATCTTCTTAATTCTTCATGTCTCTTTTTTTCTTTCCAAATTTATTTCACTGGATTATACTCCTTGAATAACATCTTCAAACCCTAATCTTTGCGATTACTGTTTATACTCTTACTACTTCTACCACTATGGGATTTGAATCGACAACTGCATCTCTGCGCTTATGTGGTATGGAAACTCGAACTGATGTACGTACGTAAGTTCTACGTTGTGGCTGGTTGACTGAGTTGATTTGCTAACTTAGCTTCCAAACCAGTGATACAAAGATGGTGATGATAAATTATTAACCGAGAGCACTAAGTCCAAGCAGCATAAACATAACATGGCTGTGGCAGTTTTATGAGAAGCTGCAGTCGATCGTAAAGAAGTGCCCAGGAGATCTAAAAGTCGTAGTCAGAACAGACATTGGGTATGAAGATATCATGCGACGGCATAGACTGGGAGAAAGGAACGGGAATAGGCGGCAAAATATTCCCCAACAAAGGTATACACAAAGCAAGATGAGTCCCACCGTATTACACTGCAGAGAACCAATTGTGATCATATTTACGTCGTCGACGACGACATCAGAACACCACCTGGTTGCTGGCAAGGTAAGACTTAAGCTAAAGAAGCACTGAGCAACTGGAGAAACAGCATTCCAAAAGTTTGATACAAATTCTTTTGAGATACTGATAAACTCAGGATTTAAAGGTAGCAGCACCTACAGACCTTCCCATAGATAACAATCCACCAACGATCGAAGAAATCAGAATGGTCATCGGACAAATCAACAATGGGAAAGCAGCAGCACCTGACAACATACCACTTGAAACACTGAAGTCACACATACAGGTAACTTCATTCATACTCCACGTTCGATTTAGGAAGATTTTGGTACGAAGAACAAGTGGCACTGACAAACTAGAAAGAAGGATATCTCATCAAGATACTGAAGAAAGGAGATCTGAACAAATGTGAAAACTACAGAGGCATCACATTACTTTCGGTACCAATAAAAGTTTTCAACAGTGTTGATGAACCGGACGAAAGGTACAATAGAAACCAAGCTTCAAGATCAACAGGCTGGATTCTGTAAGTATCGGTCGTGCACAGACCAAACAGCGACACTACGGATCATTGTTGAACATTCAATTGAGTGGAATTCGTCATTATACATCAACTTCCTCGACTATGAGAAGGCGTTTGACAATGTGGATAGGGGAACATCATGTAACATTCTTCGATACTATGGTACACCTGAAAAGACCGTCAACATCATCCGGAGAAGCTCTGGAAATTTCCACGTACGTGATCATCATCATCGACGAACAAGGAGGATCTGATGCAGACGTAAATGCAAGGATTGGCAAAGTAAGGGCAGCATTCCTACACTTGGAGAACGTATGCAACTCAAAACAACTGTCAGTCAACACCAATGTCAGAATCTTCAATACGAACGTCGAGACAGTTCTAGTGTACGAAGCTGAAACTTTGAGAACCACCGTCATTTATGAACAATTACCTACACATGATACCCAATGTCCGTCTATCAGATACCATCAGCAACAGACTACTGTGGGAGAGAACAAACCAACTTTCAGCTGAAGAGAGAATTAAGAAAAGTCGGTGGATAGTACATACATTGTGGAAATCACCAAGCTGCATCACGAGGTAAGCCCTAACTTGGAATGCTGACGGGTAAAGAAAAAGAGGAAGACCAAGGAACACATTGTGTCGAGAATTGGAGGCAGACATGAAAAGGATGAATGGCAACTGGAAAGGATTTCCGAGGACAGAGTTGGTTGGAGAACCCTGGTGGGCGGCCTACGTTTTTCCATGAGGGCTAACTGGCGTAAGGAAAGTAAGTAATTAATGTGGAGGTAGTAAGTTCTGGGTTCACTTACCTGGTCTTGAAATACTGAAGCTGTGGATTTGTTTATGATAGACGTAAGTGAATATTAGACATATAAACACGAAAAGAATTTTGCAGGACAGAATTGGTTGGAGAAACCTGGTGGGCAGCCTGTGTTCTTCTACGAGGGTTAATAGGCTTAATTTGGGGCATTAAACTAACCTATCTCATAAAATTTTAAAGCTACTGGTAATGTTCTCATCGACTATTCACTGAATTTTGGAAAAGGAAATTGACGACTCAATATACTAGAACGAAATCAAACTGGTTAACATAAAACTCTGGAAACAAGACACATAGGAATCTACTTTAATGTAGACCATGGTTAGTCTTCTAAGTAAAAAAATTCTGTGAATGGAGAAACACTTAATTAAATTTGTTCCACATAAAATTATTTATAAAAGCTATCGACAGCAAACAAACCTGGATAAATCAATGGGACAATGTTCTGATGGAAGAGATAATAGAGTGCTTAATCGACTGGGGGTAGAAATGAGGATTTTAGTGCTTGAGGGTAATTTCAATTCACGAACTTTTCTTGGTTTCGTTGATAAAACATCAATTTTAGAAACGTTCTTCGCCTTCTTTCTGCAGCGAACAAAATAATGCTTTTTGTGCAACGCTGCTATATAACAGTCCGCTTGGATCCCAGAAAATAGCCTAATAGCCTCAGAACGAATTTGATGCATTAGTTCTTGAGTTGGAGCCAATATCACAGCAAATGGGAATATTTTATGTTTAGATGATGTCACCTCAGTTATATTGTCTATGACCTTGGAATTTTCAGAGGTGTTTGCACTTAGCAACTGATTGAGCACCGGGAGAAGATAAGCTGCTGTTTTCCCGGAACCTGTAGGTGCACAAGCAAGTAGGTTACGGTGCTACAAAAATCACAATAAAGAACCCAGTGAAAATTTATCACAATGATCTCGAGAATCAGTCAATTTATAACTAATTAAAAGAGCATATGCCTGGTGAATTTGAAAATATAGACGTTTGACGTAAAAATACTATCAAACTGATTGCAATAGTACACTACTATGTTATATTATTTTGCTCAGACTAAAGATGGCAGAAAACAACAATTCTGCCTACATCAAATCTGACTGCCAAAAAATATCGACAAAATACTAACTGTCAGGATGATATGCTTTCATATGTGTTTGTCTACTCCAGCTTCGATCACAACACTTTTCATCATTTTCCAATCATGACGTCCCAATCTGAGGTTTGGTAGCAAAACCTATGATAAGTTAATAATTAGGTCACCGCTTAGTATGTTTAATTCATATGTTATATTTTGAAAGAAACATGGGAAAATAATCTACCAACGAACTGAGAAATACTGACTTAACACATTAAGGGTTTAAAAACGTTTCTAAAACAAAACATTCGCGAGTTAATGATCCGAATGATCGATACATAAATAAATGTTATTGGTTTTCCAAGTTTACGTAAACAATACTGTTAAACTTAACGACCCTAATTCGTATTTTTGTTGCTTGAAGATGCTAAATTCATTTAATCTGATCAGCTATTAACTTGTAAATGCCATCTATGTATATTCCTTATCGAGTCAGTTCTTTGATAATGGTCAAAAGCATTGGTAGAACGAGGCCAGCTCACTGGACAAAAGAATAAGATTTCAACGAAAGTACAGAGTTGTAGCGACTTTTAGTGTAAATTACAACAAACAGTGAAAGAGATTACCTGTTCTTCACCCATATGCGAATTGGGATCCAGTAGGGTCAAGAAACGTTACACTAACTCGCACTATCTAACTAGTGTACTGATTAATTTTTAATACGAGTTTTTCAAGAGAAACACGAAATACTCGAGTGTAATGCATGTATACACACCCTAAACACAATGGTTTATAGCTACAACAAAAATGAAGCGGAAAACGTGTGCAAAAATGAAACAACATCAACAGACTAACCTGTATCATGATAGGAATGCTTTGGGATTGTATGGGTGTTGGAGTTTTGTATCCTAGCTCGAATAAGTTATGTAAAATCAGATCACTAATTTGACAGGATTTGCTCCCAAATGAATAGATCGGTGGGGGAATTTTGCTTCGCCTATTTATTGCTGAAACTTTGATGTCATGAGATAACCTATATTGTTTAGCTTTCAACGATTTACATTTTTCCTTTTTCTTTACAACTGAAGAATCCACCTTAAAAAAAAACTAAGCATTATACGAAGATTTACATCAAAATCCAACCCAACTAAGTTGTCATCAGCTGGAATATCCATATTTTAGCTTAACAGATAAGATACAAATCCTTAATGAGCTTCAGTATATCATATTTCCTTCACAACGATAGTTGCTTGATGGTAGCGTCACGTTTCATATGTCTTTCACTATTATTCGGTATACAATCTTTTTACTTCAAAAATTGGTAAAACAAAATATTGAACGTGAAACATTTCATCAACACTTGGTAAGCTGAAATACAGATGATTGAAATGTTGATATATTAGATAATTGTAGATCTCTTTCATACTTTACATTTTCACTAAACCTTAGTCCAGTAGTTTTTCGCTTTCAGAACACAGTATATGACAAACATGCAACGCTGGTGCTTATGTTGTATATATTTATGCAATTCACTTATGTGCATTTTGTTATACGCTCATTTTTTCTACCAGGAGAGCTGAAATGTTGACATATCCGGTTTTTTTGATCGTGCTGACATTTTATTATCTAGTTCAAGCGCCTCCACATTATGACTCATTCATGGTTGTATCGTGTCTGAGACTTATAGTCCGTGGTTGGATTTCAAAATCAGTAAGAATACTAAACGAAAGTATGGCAGATAAATACTAATGTTATTGTTAGTTAGACAGTTGTGAATAATATTGTGCTAGTGTTTCCGTATCAGTGAATGTATTTGCTGTAATTGTTGAATAGACGTATTACCGTGCCATTGTTTGTTCATTGCACTGTGTTTTAGTCTCTGTAAGAACGTCGATACTCCAACCGCGACAATCGCCATCTGCCTATTGTCTATTATTATATGTGACCTAAGATAGGATTTTATATCATGAAGCTGGTTCTCATCCATTCATTTTGGCCTATTGTTTGGCTAAATGTTGATACTTGTAACAAATTCTTTAGGTAGATTTCGCATTTGGTTCTTTCTACGCACGTACTCTGATTAAGATTGTGAAATCTCTTTGTGTTGTGATCCATAGAGTCATCAAGAAGCTCTTAAAACTTGGTTACAATGCATTATAATTTCCGTTAAAACTCAAAAATTTTCTGTACTAACTTGCCCTTATACCTATCCTGTAACACAAAACGTGTGAAATTTGTCTGCAATGATCCTTTTGATGATTGTGTGAAAATGTGGGTTGTAGTGCTGATATGGTTGTTCGAGATACACAGTTATCTGACCGTAGTCCGAATGAGGGGCTCTCTATGTTACGGGAAAACTGAAGACATTTGGCTGATTAAAACCTTTTTACTGTACATCAATTTTACTGTTTTTGGATGTGTTTGTTTTACTTAACATTTGGACTTGTTTGTTTATATCATTCTTTTCGGACATTTCGGTTTCTATTGTCAATGGTTTGGTATTTGGGAGTTTTTGCTCCGGGAACCCAGAAAATTGAAGGCTTGTTTTGTAATTGTTATAATTATTGTTGTTAGAACGACTTTGGTCGATTATTTGTGAATTGCGAATAAACTTGGTATCTAATTTGGAGTTTTCGTTCTCTTGCCTACTTGGGTTCGTGATTTGCGAATATCGACAGCCAGTACTTCAATAGTGTAGTTTAGTGCTTCGTTAATCGATCGTCTTGATAACCGTTATTATAACAATCTGAACGGTGTATAATATCAGAAGACAAAGGGAAGCAGCAACTACATTTTTATTGATAACTAACATGGGCTAGAAGGCAGTGAGCACATTAGCAAATGTAAGCAAGCGAAGGAAAGATGACGCAGAGTGGAGATGGCTGGGAAGCCAACTCGTTATAAGCAAGCATTAATCAACATTTATAGTCAGGCTAAAATGAATGACAGACATGTGATAGGTAGGATAAGAAGTGTGCATACACATACGCTCATATAAAAAAATAGTCAAGGTCAATAAGGGAATAATTAATATGATCAAAATATGACTCATAACGTTATAGGTGAATTGGCTTGTCCAGAAACTAGAATAAGCTATGTAGGTGTAATATAGTACACGACGTTACACTACTCCCCACATAGCTCCCCCCAGAGTGTCCGGAGGAAACACTGTTATGCAAAATAAACAAGGGGGAGGAGGTGTATATGCGTTCACAAACCAAAATTAAAGTAATAGCACATTAATTTGAAAATAACACTGAAATGGCATATGGATAACGTTAATAATATGTAGAGAGAAAAAATTGTACTATATCGAATAAGTTACAGTGTCAATGGAGGGGCGAGTTTATTAAACGAAAGTGTCACACTTATGTGAAAATGTACATGAAAATTGTCAAAATGAGGACAGAAATGGAAATGTTAGCATGTGATTATGAGTAAATTAGTAAGCGTACAAAAAATTTAACATGCATTTATGTCGTCACTGTCCGGATGATAAAATAACATGTTTGTATGAGCAATTCGAAATATCGTGAAAATAGAGCAACAAATTGTTTATGGGTATGACAGCGGAATAAATCGTGGAAATAAGTAATGTAGAATATAATAGAAATTGGTCTGTAGTGCCAATTGAATATGAGAATGAAGAACAGTGAAATATGATTTTCTGATAAGTCGCATTAGAGTAAATAGAGTCGCTTAGCGATGAGTGTATTCGAATTTACATAACTGAAGTTTACGTGGGATAAGAAGTAATCCAGCCGTAGGAAGATGATTGCATCAACAGGTGGTATTCATTGCTGTACTGCAATTGATTATGATAATAAAATGCGAAATCAGCGTGCGCTAACGCTTGCATTGAGTTGTCGTTAAATATGTATTAGTAGAATGACCAGAGGAACAGGATAGTGACTGCTTAGACGAGATATGCGGAGTCGTATTCCTTTTTGGTCTAGAAGCCTAGCGTGGTTTGTGTAGTTAGAGGGATATGCGCTCAACCTCATTTGTTACGAAACCGTTTTAAGGCATGATAAAAATACCAATACATATGATTGTCGATGACAGCGAGTGAGACTGACTTGAATGTGACGAACAAGAGTGTATCTTTGAGAGACTAGCTCTAAACTCTATGTTCTGGTGTACAGTACAATGGAAATAAAATATTAATTGCAGTAATCGAATTGTGATTATCGGTGATGGATGATGCAGCATTCAGATATACATGTGAATGAATAAATAATATGAACATAATCATTACTAATCGGCTGGTAATGCGGCGTCAAATACTTGGTTTATGTATAGACATTAAAGTAGCGATCATCGTGAAACCAAAATTGCTGAAGCTCAGTTAAGGTTGTCGCGTAAAAAGTAGAAAACGACGATTGCTGAGTACCGATGAGATGAATGAACATCAGTTGTCTATCGAGAACATAAGTTTCTACTATCGGGAGTATGACTCCAAACTTATGTCTATGATAGAGTGTAATATTAAGCCGAAAATGACATAAAAAAAATTGGAACGAACTCACCCGAATCAGGAAAAATTTTCGTCATTGGATAATAAAAATAATCCAGTGAGTTTCGAATATCATAACGTGTAATGTCCATATCATTATAATTTGTTCGATTAGTGATATGACTGCGTAAATGTCATAGTTTAATGTCAATACGAACAAAAATAATAATTCCACGTTAGATGATTATATGACATTCTTGTAATAATGAGCATATGATGATTATTTGAATCATAACAGAATATGTCGTCGACGGTTCCATCTTTGGTTTGTGTTCGCTCGTTGCGGTCGCCAATTCTGTTGCGTGTTCCAAATACAGCTAACCAATATGTTGAGTGTTCGTTCGGCGAGGCATCCAATTTTGTTACGTGTTCGCATGTAGGGCTAACCAATATGTAGCCGTACGTTGAGGTTGCCAACTTTGCTTCGCGTTCGTAATTCGGGATCGCCAATAGTGTTGCGTGTTCGTACGTCGAGATTACCAATATGTAGTGTAGTGCTTCGTTAATCGATCGTCTTGATAACCGTTATTATAACAATCTGAACGGTGTATAATATCAGAAGACAAAGGGAAGCAGCAACTACATTTTTATTGATAACTAACATGGGCTAGAAGGCAGTGAGCACATTAGCAAATGTAAGCAAGCGAAGGAAAGATGACGCAGAGTGGAGATGGCTGGGAAGCCAACTCGTTATAAGCAAGCATTAATCAACATTTATAGTCAGGCTAAAATGAATGACAGACATGTGATAGGTAGGATAAGAAGTGTGCATACACATACGCTCATATAAAAAAATAGTCAAGGTCAATAAGGGAATAATTAATATGATCAAAATATGACTCATAACGTTATAGGTGAATTGGCTTGTCCAGAAACTAGAATAAGCTATGTAGGTGTAATATAGTACACGACGTTACACTACTCCCCACAATAGTTGGAACGGGCAAAAACTCATAATTGGACGTAACACTCTATCTGAACTTGAACACATCCAGTATCTCAAACGACGATAATAAGCACTTGGGATTGAAACACCAGTGAACTACTTCGAAACCTTGCAGGAGTTTGAAAAAACTATAACGTTTTTTGTGGTGATAGGTTAAAATTAGACTTCTGAGAATAAACAATCTCTTACCATAGAAAAACCCATGTGACAAAGGTCACCCATCAGGACCATAAAATGTAAATAATTATTGAGAAATCTGCACACTGAAGGTTTATAAACGCAAATAAAGCTAGGAGATAAGTCAAACTCATCGTCAGTCATGGACCACAGATGTCGTGGAAATAGTGTACACAGTACACATTTCATTACTTTGCTCATGAATTTCACAATACGTATATATATATATATCGAGCAGCTGTTTTGTCTTGAATTGTTACTCTACGTAGCCATTCTACCTACTAAAGTTACAGCATAAATATTTTGGATGCAGATAGATGGCATTGGTAATGTATGATTGTTCCAGTTTCTTCTTGACTAGATGTACATTACTTGAAGTTTCATTCACGCGAGGTGGAGAATATCTTTCCTATCTTGTTTGTGCTTTTAAGGCTTTGAAATCGGTGAGCTTTGGAGTTATGACGCTCGATATCCGAAACTGATACTGATGTGCAAACTTCGATACTCGATACTTTAATAGGCAAGCTAGTGGGAAGAATAAAAGCGTACAGGGAAGTAGTTGGGTTATAGTTATTTATATATATGAATACATATCCACTTTTTGGAAAACGAAGCCATTTCTTATTCAGTAAAATGTGATTGTTATTTGGAAGGATTCCGATTTCCACAACGTGACTTTCTCACTTGGGTGCTTTCCATTACTTCTGAAAATCTTTAACGATATTGACAATTGGAAACTTTTTTTTCAGTGAGGGCATCGTAAATACTGAAATGCATATGAGCAGTGACCAGGTTCAGTAAAAGAAAACTTA